TCTATCGGGAGGGTGCAACCTGCGGCGAAGAGGATGAGAGAGGCAAGAGAGGGGGAAACTTCGGAGCAGCGTGCAACACGCCTTGAAATTAATCGTGTAAAAAGCTCTCACTGAAAGGCTTCTGAAAGAAAGGAAGAATGTAATGCGCGCCCCGAAAATACACAACGAAGAGATGCTGATCTGCAGGATGCCGAAATATTTGATGAACGTCAAACGAGTGTTGAGAATACTCGCGAACGCATTACTGCATTGAGCACTCCGGAAACGCAAGCGCAGCATCAGAGGTTCGAGGGACATCTCTTACAGATTGTAGAAGAAGGAATCACCGCGACAGCGGAGAACGTCAGGCAAGACGCAGAGTTAACGCTTCTAGGATGAAGGTATTACGTACATCGGAATTAGATGTGCAGTATCAATCACGCTTGAGTTCTGACCGGCAGCGAAGTGTTCGCTCACGACAAGTACAAAGATGGGCGGATTTGAGGCTGGCAGCTTTCAGCTTTCGACCCCCACCAAGATTTTTCGTCACATCCAAAGGTGGTCATCGGAATGATGGACAAAGTGTGTAAGTACTGCTAGGCCAGAAAATTTGCAGGAGAAGCTCCAAGAATGTGTTGCTCCAATCGTAAAGTCAATACCACTATTAGAAAACCCTCCTAATGAGTTGATGTTGTACATGGAAGGTTGTACTACACCCGATTCGAAGCACTTCCTTCAGAACATCAGGAAGTATAACTCTGTTTCCAAATGTGTTCGTTCGGGTCAACTGCAGAGATCGTTGAAAATGGCTTTATGCCCATCTTCAAAGTGCAGGGGCAAATTTATCACAGATTCGGCTTGCTGCTTCCAGGTCTCAGTGAAGCGCCAAAGTTTCTGCAGCTGTACTTTGTGGCAGACGAGCGAGTGCAGGCCGCCCATAGGTGTGAATATGTGCCTGGCACAAGAGTTGATATTGTTTCAAATCTGCAGGCAATGTTGCATGAACACAACCACCTGATTAACGCTTTGAAGAGCGAATGCCAACACATGACTTTAATTTGGTCGTTCATGCGGATAAGAAGCCGCCTAATGAGCATGAGCGGCGTTATAATTACGGTTTTTGTGAAGGAAATCCGTCGAAACAGCAGTCCTCACAGCCATGAATGACTGGACTATCGAAGCTGATAAGCGACATCAAATAGATGTTATCTTCCTAGATTTCTCCAAAGCATTTGATAAAGTCCCAATCACCAAATTATTATCTTAGCTTAGAATGCTAGGAGTAGAGGGTACAACGTGCAGATGGATAGAAAGCTTTTTGAGCAAGCGTACCTTTTAAGTTCGTGTCGGTAATGAATTTTCAAGAGCCTGTACCATCTCTAGCGGAGTACCGCAGGGTGGAGTTCTCTCTCTTATATTCTTTCTTCTTTACACTTTTGACTTGCCCGATATCATTGAATCTCAGCAAGATATCAAATGCGTGATGTATGCACATGATATCAAATTATTTAAGGTTATTCGTGATCAAAATGATATAAACTCTTACAATCTTGCCTTGAAGCTGTCAATCAGTGGTAGGTGTCAAAAAGTTGAGTCATCTTACATCCTGAATGGAAACAATTTGACTCAGATTACGGAAGTAAAAGATTTAGGTTTTACATTTTCCGAAAAGGTTCAATTTACATCTCACTACAACAGGACTGTCTCTAAAGCCCTTTCCGGACTTACAATCTATTCAAGGCCCTTAAAACCACAAATGCTAAAGTTTTGATCAATGCCTACAAGATGTACATCCGTCCTATTGTTGAAATTGGTACTACAGTTACTTCTCCATATAAGATTCGAGACATTGCTAATATCGAGAGAGTGCAGAACAACTTTACCAGAAAGTTATTTCTGAGACTTTCAGGTTTCAACTACTCTCTTATACCTAGGAGCGATGAACGCAATAAAATGTTGTCTCCTCCTAGTTTAGCCCTCAGAAGGAAAAAATTTGACCTTTCTGTGGCTCTCAAGATGTTAACAGGAAGATGCAAAATTGATTTTTCAGAATTTTTCAACGTTTACAACTCTAAAACTAGAGGAGGTTCACTGAAACTAAAAGCTCCCAAAACAAAATCGCATGTCAGGTCCCATTTTTTCACGAGGATAATTTCCGATTTCAAAGACTACTGGCACAAGATGCTCTTCAAAAAACATTAGCTAAATTTTTTACTACAAATCGTCCTATTTCCTAATCGTGAAACCAATTCATTGTCTTGTGCTGTAATTGTTAATATATGTATATCCTTTGCTGATGTCTTTTTCATGCACTGATACTGCGGTTTTTACCATTGCAAGACTCTCCCATTACTATTTCTATTCACGTGTTTTTGCACGTATCAATAAATAAATAATTAAATAAATAAATATTACTCCTACTGTCAATGAAGTGGCAGTAGTGTTAGTGGGAAATGAATGCGAAAGACGCGACATAATTGTACAAAGAAGAAGTGGTTTACTACAGCCCATATCTGAAACACAGATCATATGACGTTCGCCAGTACCCAATTATCTTTCTGGGCTGGGCAGGATGGAATCACTTCAACCTAAAGGAAGTTGGTCCTGTATCGGGTAGACCTACAAGCAAAAAGATTTCAGCAATGGATTACTAGGCCTATCGACTCATGATTAGGTCTGGGTTCAACCATATATTGCGATGGCGATAGCTCCATCACCAGTACATTGTTGATATGTAGGCGAAAATTGAAACAGAGCGTCTTTTGTTTATTCGATTGAACCACAGGAAACTACGTGTGGAAGATTAAAATCATTTACGCGATGCCGTAGTCAATGACGGAAACGTGCATGATGTTGGACAACAAGTGATACTTCCTGCCACGTTTACTGAAAGTCCCAGATACATGCACGAATATGCTCAAGATGCGATGTCGTATGTGCGCATGTATGGACGCCCAAACCTCTTCATTACCTTTACGTGTAATCCTGCGTCGGTTGAAATCACAAATTATCTTTATCCAAGCCAGGCTCCCGCCTATAGAAACGATTTGACCGCGAGTATTTTTAAGCAAAAATTGACCAAACTGATGGATGTAATTACTAAGAGTCACATCTACGGTGAAACCCGTTGCTGGATGTATTCATCGAATGGCAAAAGAGCGCTTCCACATTCTCACTTGGTGTGGTTGAAGGACAAGATCCAGCCAACGCAGGTAGATAATGTCATTTCTGCCAAATTACCGAATCGAGATGAAGATCCGATTCTGTTTGATGTCGTCACCAAAAGTATGATTCATGGTCCATGCGGTCCACTGAATCTTAGATCCCCGTGCATGAAAGATGGTAAATGCAGTAAAAAATACCCGCGACAACTGATTCGAGAAACTCAGACAGGGAACGATGGGTACCCCCTGTACAGACAAAGTAATCTGCAAGATGGAGGGCAAACAACGAAAGTGCGAATGAGAGTAGACGACCAGCTTGCGGAAGTTGTCATCGGTAACAGATGGATCATACCATATTTACCCATTCTTTCTAAGATGTTTCAAGCCCACATTGATCTTGAATACTGCAACCCAGTCAAGTCAGTCAAATATAAAGGGTGTCCCAAAAAAATGTATCGACTCAGACAAATTAAGGGAACTTCCCGAGAACAAGCTAATTTGCGGAACTTCCCGAGAGCTTGATTTAGTACTGGAGTAAATGAAGGTGAAAGAATGGAAACTTCCCCAGAAAAATGACGTCGACAGGAATACAGTTAGGAACTTTCCGAGGAAATCCTCGGAAAATTCTGCAAAGTGCAGAACCTCCCGAGGATTTCAATTCGAGGGAACTTCCGCAGAGCTTTTGCAGGTTAACAAAACACTTCTGTTTTGCTTGTTTTGCAAGTAAGACTACCTGCATCATAATGATAAGCTCAAAGTTTGATAAGGTAAAGCTTAAGGTGCTTTATTTCTGCCTATCACCGTCTGAAGGATAGGTAACACTGTTATGATATTTACCTATCTATTTCGAGCTAGCGTAATCAAACCTATTTGTTCCATGTTTAATTAGTATTTTTCAGGTGTCAGTATCTGTGTCAACAAACATCAAAATACTGTTGGAAATCTGCAAAAGGACTGAGGAGGGACTCCACTCAAGGACAACGCTCTCTTCGAAGTATTTTTAATGTTTGCTTTATTAATCTTGCGCTGTTGCTTTGCTTATTTTGTAATCAAAGATTTTGTCAAAAGAAGGAAGGGGAGTTTTTTGTCCCTTCCTTCCCCTCATCTTGAACAAATTTTCACATTGCCACTGCTTTTCATCTCTCCTTCTCTTCTCTGTTTCTGATATTTTCAATTTTCTCTTTCTCGCTCATACATGTCCTCTCACAATACCCAAATCACAAATTTTTTATTTTCTAATCTTTTCATTTTGTCAAAAGAAGGAGGGAGAGGGGGAATTTTGCTTTTCAAAATTTTTTTAATGGTTTGCAAAAAACCTGCAAATCATAAAATGATTTTTTCAAACAAAAATGATTTTCAAAAATGATCAAATGATAAAGAAATTTTTCAATGATAAATGATAGAATGATGAAATCCTCATAAATATGAGGATTTTATATATACTACCCTTGGGTAGTCAGGAGAATGGAGTCGAATTGAAGAGATAGAATAGTCTAGAGAAAGTGTTACACAGAGAGGCATCCATGACGAAGGCACGCTATCTTTGGGCGCGAACGCGGTTTTATTAGCCTCAGAGCGCATGAGCCGCAGGTTTTGCAAGGGTGAAGATGCGCGCGCGTCGCTTTTACGCCCGCTCAACTAGTACTGCTTCTTCTCCTTCATCGTGCAGCGCCTTAATTATTTTGTCTGAAAATTTTGCGATGTTGCGTCGATTTAGTAATCCTTAATTTTCTTTGTCAAAAGCTCTATAGATCTTCAAATGTGTCTCAGAGTTTTCCTTGTTGAAGTTTCCAAAATTCCAAGTCTTTCATCAAATCATACAAACTTCCTTTGTATTTAGCACACAGGGCTTTCGAAATGGAACCTATGCGGCGTAACCGTCATCGACGACGCAGCGACTGGACTGCAACTGAAGAGGGTAGCAGCAGTTCGGTGAATAGTTAGCTGTTTTTTGAGATAGCATGAAATAGGTTTAGTAATTCATAAAATGGCATAACAGCAACAAAATTTGTTACAATTTGAGAAAACAAAAAAAAGGAAAACACCGAGATAATCGGCTAACAGTGAAAGCAGGAAAACAGGTTGCAGCGGGTTTCAGAACAGTGTGGTTGTTTTTCCTTAGAATACGTGCGTGCAGCTACGCGGGTTCGTACTAAAAACTGATTTTTCGAATTTAGCACCCTAGACGCCCTCGGTTGAGCCCTAAGCCGAGTACGAGTTCCAAACCGGCGGCTTCACTCCCTTCATTTGCCGAAGGTGCCGCCGACGAAGAGACAGAACCCAGCCAAGTTGTTGACGAAGAGATGGCAGAACCTAATCACGCCGCTGGTAGTGAAACGGTAGAACTGGGACAAGGTGCCGTTGGGAACGTGGTAGAGCTAGGTAGCATTTTCTTGGAGTAACTCTGCAGAGAAGAAATGTATCTCGGCTTTAAGATCATCAAGACAAGCTCCTTTTTTTTGCCTGTCACACTGTGCTGCACGGTACCAGCACCGCGGAGCTAAGACGAATGATGATGTTGATAGAAGTGGCCACAGGAAGGGCAGCAAATATTGTGAGATTCCAGTCAACCAGTTGGTTTTAAGAGGGAACTCTATATTTAAGTGTGTGGCGGATGTGACGAGATTCGTGGATAATCTGAAAAGTGACATACGCTTAAGAAATCACGCATTTTGCAGTTCATGCTTTCGAACACTGGTGAATAAACGCGCCTTGTGCGCCAATCTCAGCTGCGACCTATATGGGTGAGCACTCCTGAATCACTATGCGGACGATCACACTTTTCTTCAGAATTCATCCCAAGCGTTCGAAGTCGTTGAGAAGGCCATCATTGTCTTTGCTGGACATTCGGCCACAGATGAAGACCGTACTTGCTACACACTTGTCCCTACTGATCAATGTACATCGGCGACTCCATGAAAGTTATGTGCGTAACTTTCTTCTTAATTCTTGAAAAGGCTCATCAATTTAGTTTGATTCTGGGACGCGCTCCGAAGCCACTGATTTCCCCATGTTCAAGAACAATGTTGAGTCGCCAGACGAGTTCTCCAGACATATAATGAGCCTGCAGTTGACCATAGCCACCGATGGATTTGTACCAGCACGGCTAAGCAGGTCTTTCATCTGGAGACTGGCAGGAATTCCTTTCAACATTTCTAAATTTACTACTTGTTTAGGCAGGAGCTTTGGCCATTATATGTGCGCGTTGATGATCTTCCATCGAAAATAGGAAATAATTATCTCAATATAATCATGGCTGGTGTGCTGTGGACGTCAAAAACACCCCACGAAGAGCTGTGGGAGGGTTTATGGACTCACCTGGCTACAGAGCTGGCTCTGGTGAACTCTGAGCCCCTGCAGATCCTTGACAATGTAACGGGCAATCTGTGGACTATCAGACTAAGACTGACGCATGCAGTCGTGGACTACAAGGTTACTCTAGCCAAAAATATACGCCTGCTTTCCAGAAAAGCCGTTATAGGGACTAAAAGACATATTTGGCATACCTCGCTGGCTGTCCCGTTATGGCTGCCATAAATGTCTTTTTCCGGGAAATTCTGTTGGACGAAAACTGAACTGGTACTGCAGCGAACCCCTACGTCTCACGAAGAGGACTTCAGCAAATATATTAGAGGATGCAGAGCTTGGACGGAATGGTCTCATGAGTAAGTTTTTAGCATGGGTTCACGGCGATCTACAAATTCTTTGATATGTAGGGAAAACTTCTGCGATGGATCTTTTCACGCCTGCGCAATGTTGTGCAGATGCCCTACACGTTATAAGTGAAGGAGTCACTCAGGATCGCCTAAGGGGTCTGCTTCCGCTTCAAGCATTACAGAGCAGCATGATGAATACCGTTGTTTTGAGATTTGCTTTTTCGCTCCTCAAAAGTTGATGAAATGAAGCTTCGACCAGAAATCGGTGAGCTCAATCGAGTCCTGATGAACATCACCAACTACACGTACAGCTTGAGATTCATTCTTTGTAACGAAGATTTACCCTCCATGACGGGAGCTGAGGTTGACGCGGTACTCTTGCCGAAATTTACATGTTTTTCTATGGATATTGAAATTTGAGACAATTTTCAGTTCGCAAATGTGGTGTTTCCGCTCGTAGGAGCACTAGCGCTGTGTCCTTCTGCTCTTAGTAGTGCCTCTATCGTGGGCTATTGGTTTTGCGTGAAAGAGCTACAGGCCGTGGAAGATCTGACTACAGTCAAGATCCGCGTTATACAATCTGTGGCGCTGCACCTGAAACAAATTTGGAGTCGCCTTTCACAAGAAATTTTCACAATCAAAACACATGTAGGTCACGCTCTGTTTATTTTGACTTGGTGCTGCGTTCCGTTCTAGACCAAGAATTTTTAAAATAACCCTATTCTTTCTAGAACTTCTTCGACCATTGTATATTGGATGAGATTGAGCAGCATGGCAGCCCATATTTGTGGTCTGCAGCACCTTTCGAGGCTATTCACCGTGTTCTGCAGATACCCCACAATCAGTATGTGACGAATTCGGGTGCAAGAGTTCTCACCAGGTAGTCATCAGATCAACAAATGACCTACACTGTCTTTGCATTTAGATTCGTGACCATCAAGAAATTAGTGACACTCATGGAAGAGGCTGTAGAAAGGAATCACTCGGAAAATTTTGCTAAACTGCTTCGCGATGTGCGAAACGAAGAGAAAAGGTAGCTAATTATACATTGCAGATTTTATATTCTATGGGTTTACCTTTTGAGATTCCCTCTCCAAGTGCAACTCGGAGCAGGTTATTATGTCCCACAACATTCCGAAGTAAAAGAAGATTCACTATGCGAAGAACATCGAGCAATTTTTCAGCGTCATCATAGGGGTCTTAGCGATGTTAAATTATAGTGAGTTTCTTTTATTGCTCGTTGTTCTAGATAGGCTAACACACTCTTGATTTAGCTCGCGTTTGGTCGTCAGCGGAAAAGTATTATCTTCCAAGGCGTATTGGCGAAGAACCACTGACACAGATGCCTCTAGCTTTTACCTCAGGGTTTCAAGCGGGCATAGTACACTAATTTCTTACGGAAAATTGCTCTTGGTCAGCTATCATACGCTCACACGTAGTTCGTTCGCTCTTATTGAGCATTACTCAACGGTCGACCCTTTTGCAAATTTGATGGAAGTTTTGGGAACCTTGGAAGACTCAGACAGAGCTCGGAGACTTCTTCGCATTGTCTCTTTAAATAATTCCCATTTCCATGAAGTTAGTTTCCTTGGCATCAAATGCACTGATATCTTAAGACCCGCAGTCTTCATTAATATGCGGAATAGAATGTTTGCTCTCAAATTGTAAGACCCCTGGCCTGCTATTTCCATTATCTCTTACTTCTGTGTTCTCATGAAATGTCGGAATAAAGTAAATTTGTTGATGTTATTATTTACTGTCTCTAGCGGATTTCAAAGCCACCTTTGCTTCTTATTCCATAACGTCGATATCAAAAAGTTTATAGAGTTCTAACATAAAAGCAGTAATAATCATAACTTATAATAACGGGCTAAGGGTGTTTACGTGTTGTGTGTGTGTGTGTGTGTGTGTGTGTGTGTGTGTGTGTGTGTGTGTGTGTGTGTGTGTGTGTGTGTGTGTGTGTGTGTGTGTGAGTGTGTCTGTTACGAAATTCGTAGAGCAGGTTCCAGCCAACCTTTTGAGCCCAAATTTTGCATGGAGCATGCTACCAGCTCAAAAGCCCAATGCACGAAAGCAGCGGATCCGATGAATGGATCCTTCAAAAATTGCCCGCCAAGCGGATCCACATGGCTTTTGGCCCGCGTAAGTGGGCCTGTATTACAATCTCTTGCGAATTTTGGATTTATGCCACATGCACATCTGTAAGCTGAGCGTTTCAATGCAAAAATCCTCAAAAAAATTCATTCCCACGCGGAGGCGGCGCCAAAATGTGGATTTTGAGTAAATTCTCGATTTTCGAATGTTCTACTGAAGGGACTGAGGAGGTTTTTGCTCAGAAATGCAGTACGGAATCGTCGTTGTCATCGTGGCAATCGTTGCATTATTAGCAAAACAGAAACTGTTTCAAAAACGTGTTTAATCTTAAGCTGCAAAAATTTTTTTCGCCCAACATCACCGATTTCTTATGCTAGGACATTCGAAATGTGTAGTTCGTAGTAATTCATTTGTGATGCGCGGCATTACTTGGTGAGTTTCATTTTCAGAGAGAGGGAAGCAAGATGCATTGGATAACACAAGTGCATGTGGTGTATTTGGATGAAGCAACGTAATCGTAGCTTTGCTTCTTTCTTTCCCTCAGCAAGTCATCTCAGTGATTGCAGCGAACGAGATGTTGCGAGCACGTGTATGTGCTGCGTCAATCCACGAGCACTTACATTCTGCCAAGTTTTATTTTTCATAAAGAAAGTAAATGGGAGAAGTCATGTCAGAAGGCTAGATCAAGCAAGTCTAAACATTATCAGTCGAATGGCGGTAAAGATTTGTTTGAAAGCCTTGGCAAACATGGTATTTTGCCTGATACTGAAGTCACGACGTATGGGATAAAAGGTAGTGGTGAGCTTTGATGAATATATGCTCGAAAGTTGATAGATTTTTACACTTACGAACACCATCTGCTGTTTTTGCATGAACATCAATTGTATTAAGTTTTCAATCAATAAGTGTATATGACAAAGACGCTTATAAAGAGCACATGAACCCATTACATAGTTCTGAGAGCACGGCTTCCCAGAATTGAAGCAAATCAAAAGTCAACATTGAAATCAAAGTCTATTGTGGCAGTGGTTTACTGCTATGTGCTATATGCTACTGTCATGAAAGTCCAACGCGCAAAAGCACGAGCAGATTCGTTGAGTGGATCCCTCAGAAACTGCGCATCAAACGGATCCACTTTACATTTGGGCCCCAAAATTGGGTCTTAAAATCTTAAGATCTTAGGCCTAAAAAAGTGATCAAAAAACCCATTACTTTACAAAAACGGCTCCAAAAGGTATTGGTTGCGTAAATGATCAATTTGCTAAGATTTCACCAGAGCATTTGGCGAGATTAGTGCGCGAAGATGTAGCTCACGGTGACTGCTGTTCTAATTGCAACCGTCAAGACCATGGGAAAATCCAAAACCTATAGAAATTTGCGTTTGTTATCCTGCAAAAAGCCTCATCCATCTCATCAACGCGAAATCACCGATTTTACCTAAAAAAGCTTTTGGAATGAGTAATTGTTTACATTTTGTTCGTGATAGTTGGCACTGCTCGGTGAGTTCCAATGCCATCATTATGCGAGAATGAATAGGGCCTAGATAGTAGAGCCAGTGCGAGCCTCTGCGAAGCAGAGGTGACGCACTGGTAGCTATAATAATCGCCTCAAAGATGTAGATCATTACTCTGAAACGATTTGTGTTAGAGCAGGTGAGGCCGTGTAGAAGCATGTCATGTCAAGCTTATCCCATACAAGTTTATCAGTTTATCACAGCCGAGCTTGAATCAAGTTTCATTTTCATTTCAACGTAGACTTCGCTGTTACCTCTACCTGTACGCGCTGGGCTATTGCTGCTATATGACTACATACATTATTGCTGCTATATGACTACATACATTATGTTTAGAGCTCTAGCCATGGCCTACAAAAGTGGAATGTCAAAAAATACGCAGGCGAAAAGGCAAATGCAACAGGGATTTCTTCCCTTACATGAAGAGTCAGCGACGCAAATGAATACTATGGCAAATCATCAGACTCAAGTATGGTTTTCTAAATTTATTAGCCTAATTTGTTCTGCCAAGTGGTATTTTCCGAGGATGTCGTTTATAATAATGAAAGCTAGTACAATACAGTCTCGCAAACGTTTGCATCACACCAGTGCTAGTTTTATGAGAGCAATTTCCTGAGAGACAGAAAGATGTTTGATTAAATTTTACATTCATGGACGGCCTCTTTAGAGTGCATTCACGGTAGTTAAAAATACTGGGATCAACATGCATGAAAAACAAATCGAAAGATCAAGCAACGAGCTTTCGGAGTCAAGTGAACGTGCGTAGAAATTAAATTCACATTTTGACCTCAATATCTCCAAAAAGTAGGGTTGAATAATTTAGTGGGCTTGGAACGCGTCTATCAGGTTTTGGAACCTGTTGGATTAGTACATGGCGATACAGCGCAGCTACAAGAAATTCCCGGTTCGCAGTTATACCAGTGAAAACCTTAAACTTACTATATGTTTTTTTATACCAGTGCGTCACCTCTGCTTCGCCAAGGCTCGCACTGGCTCTACTATCTAGGCCCTACTCATTCTCGCATAATGATGGCATTGGAACTCACCGAGCAGTGCCAACTATCACGAACAAAATGTAAACAATTACTCATTCCAAAAGCTTTTTTTACGTAAAATCGGTGATTTCGCGTTGATGAGATGGATGAGACTTTTTGCAGGATAACAAACGCAAATTTCTATAGGTTTTGGATTTTTCCATGGTCTTGACGGTTGCAATTAGAACAGCAGTCACCGTGAGCTACATCTTCGCGCACTAATCTCGCCAAATGCTCTGGTGAAATCTTAGCAAATTGATCATTTACGCAACCAATACCTTTTGGAGCCGTTTTTGTAAAGTAATGGGTTTTTGATCACTTTTTTAGGCCTAAGATCATGGCATGCACATTTACTCGGCATAAACAACCGTGACTCTGCAAAAAATGGAATTACGGACCCAATTTTGGGGCCCAAATGTAAAGTGGATCCGTTTGATGCGCAGTTTCTGAGGGATCCACTCAACGAATCTGCTCGTGCTTTTGCGCGTTGGACTTTCATGACAGTAGCATATAGCACATAGCAGTAAACCACTGCCACAATGGACTTTGATTTCAATGTTGACTTTTGATTTGCTTCAATTCTGAGAAGCCGTGCTCTCAGAACTATGTAATGGGTTCATGTGCTCTTTATAAGCGTCTTTGTCATATACACTTATTGATTGAAAACTTAATACAATTGATGTTCATGCAAAAACAGCAGATGGTGTTCGTAAGTGTAGAAATCTATCAACTTTCGAGCATATATTCATCAAAGCTCACCACTACCTTTTATCCCATACGTCGTGACTTCAGTATCAGGCAAAATACCATGTTTGCCAAGGCTTTCAAACAAATCTTTACCGCCATTCGACTGATAATGTTTAGACTTGCTTGATCTAGCCTTCTGACATGACTTTTCCCATTTACTTTCTTTATGAAAAATAAAACTTGGCAGAATGTAAGTGCTCGTGGATTGACGCAGCACATACACGTGCTCGCAACATCTCGTTCGCTGCAATCACTGAGATGACTTGCTGAGGGAAAGAAAGAAGCAAAGCTACGATTACGTTGCTTCATCCAAATACACCACATGCACTTGTGTTATCCAATGCATCTTGCTTCCCTCTCTCTGAAAATGAAACTCACCAAGTAATGCCGCGCATCACAAATGAATTACTACGAACTACACATTTCGAATGTCCTAGCATAAGAAATCGGTGATGTTGGGCGAAAAAAATTTTTGCAGCTTAAGATTAAACACGTTTTTGAAACAGTTTCTGTTTTGCTAATAATGCAACGATTGCCACGATGACAACGACGATTCCGTACTGCATTTCTGAGCAAAAACCTCCTCAGTTCCTTCAGTAGAACATTCGAAAATCGAGAATTTACTCAAAATCCACATTTTGGCGCCGCCTCCGCGTGGGAATGAATTTTTTTGAGGATTTTTGCATTGAAACGCTCAGCTTACAGATGTGCATGTGGCATAAATCCAAAATTCGCAAGAGATTGTAATACAGGCCCACTTACGCGGGCCAAAAGCCATGTGGATCCGCTTGGCGGGCAATTTTTGAAGGATCCATTCATCGGATCCGCTCGTGCTTTCGTGCATTGGGCTTTTGAGCTGGTAGCATGCTCCATGCAAAATTTGGGCTCAAAAGGTTGGCTGGAACCTGCTCTACGAATTTCGTAACAGACACACTCTCTCACACACACACACACACACACACACACACACACACACACACACACACACACACACACACACACACACACACACACACACACACACACACACACACACACACACACACACACACACACACACACACACACACACACACACACACACACACACACACACACACACACAACACGTAAACACCCTTAGCCCGTTATTATAAGTTATGATCTTTGCTCTTTTGAGGATAAATACAGGGTGTCCCAAAAAATGTAGCGAACGTTTGATCGTTAATATCTCCCTTCTGAAGAAGTCTTTTCCTTTGCTTCAGGTACCAATCTGTAGTGCTGGCTTCAACTTAGTGCATTATAGAGCGAATCACTCATCTCTCTTCATTACTATGGGATTACGGTGGAAACTTCTAAGAGGGTTTAAGCAATGAGAGGCCATATTTTGCCTCAGAAAGGAAACAAAACAGCCTCATAACTTTTACACTGGGCTAATTAGAGTTCCTGATTATAACTGTAAAATTCCCAACTTATTGTGATGGTTCATTGAAGAGTTATGCCAGGTAAGAGGTAGCGGCCACTTTTTCAATGTTCCTAAAAAGTGCGGTTACACCATTTGGAAAACTTCGTGATCTTATGAATAGTTGAGTATTGAACTCAGCGTCCATAAAAACCTTATTACACATGTTTTCACAATTTTTTGAAAAATTTTGAAACGGCAGCTTTTTCGCATTGACACCATATGTTTCATTCTACCGTAATCCTGCAGTAATGAAGAGAGATGGGTGATTCGTTCTATAATGCAATCTAAGTTAAAGGCTCTATAAAACGGTACTTGAAGCAAGGCAAAAGACTTCTAGGGAAGAGATATATTAACGATCAAACGTTCGATACATTTTTTTGGGACACCCTGTATTTGTAAGTATGTCAACAAAGGCGGTGATGTGGCAGTGTTTCGTCTTCAAGGAACTGTATCAAGTGATGAAGTCACGGAATACCAGATAGGACGGTACATCAGTAGCAACGAAGCGGTATGGCGCGTACTGAACTTCAGTATACATGAAAGATACCCCGCCGTTGTTCATCTAGCCGTCCATCATGAAAATGGTCATCGCGTTTACTTCACACCTGAATATGCTCAGGAACGAGTTGCTCCTCATACGACGTTGACAGCATTCTTCCATTTGTGTTAGACGGACTCATTTGCAAGAACTCTTCTATACCCTGAAGTACTGAGGTACTTCACATGGGACAAGAGAACAAAACAGTTCTGCGCAAGAAAACAGGGAAGGATCCCATCATGACGTCCGACTCGCGGATCCCATCATGGCCAGTTTCTGGCCATGATGGGATCCGCGAGTCGGACGTCATAGGTCGGGTCTACACAGTGCATCCGAAGAATGCCGAATGTTTCTATCTACAAATGCTTGTTCACACCATTCAAGGGCCAACATCATTCGCGGCATTGAAGACTGTTAACGGGGAATAGTGTCAAACGTTTAGAGAAGGCTGTCAAAGGCTAGGGTTGCTCGAGAAGGGCGAGCATTGGGATTTGACCATTTCAGAGGCATGCCTCACATGTCCCGCCAAGCGAATACGCAGTCTTTTTGCTATCATCCTAACAGCATGCTCTCCATCAAACACACGAACTTTTTGGGAGAAGTACAAAGAATATCTAAGTGAAGACATACTTAGAGAAAAACGCAGAGTCATCTTAGAAAATTTGCAGTTATTGCCAGAAATATTCAATCAAGCTTTGAGCCTGGTTGAAGACAATTGTATGTCAATCACAGTTCAGAATTTATCAGAGCTTGGCTTGGAAGGACCCAATCGAGGAGGTGAATACTACGCATTAGATGATGATGTATTGAGGGAAAGAAACTTTCTTGAGAGATTTGTAGATAATACGAGCCTGCTGACGAAAGACCAAATGTTGGTGTATAATAAAGTTATGGATGCGATTACTAGCAGTAGCGGAGGGTTGTTTTTCCTCGACGATTCTGGAGGTACGGGAATAACTTCCCTATCAATTTACTACCTGCACAGGTTCGAAGGCAAGGAGGAATAGCTGCAGCAGTTGCCTCATCGGGAATCGCATCGACACCATTGCATGAAGGGCGTACTGCGCACTCGGCTTTGAAGCTTCCCCTGGATCTTACACTTTCGGAAGTGCCTACGTGTAACATAGCAAAGCTAGTGGAAAGGCACTAGTACTACGAGTATGCAAGCTAATCGTTTGGGACGAGTGTACGATAGCACACAAGAAAGCTTTTGAGGCTTTGGATCGCACTTTGCGAGATTTGAGGGAAAGTGATCAAGTTTTGGGTAGCTTGTTAGTTCTCTTCTCTGGCGATTTTCGTCAAACATTACGCATTATCCCAAAAGGAACACCAGCGTCGAGGAAGAACCTCATCATACAGAATAGTCTCCAAGGCACTGCTATCACGTACAAACTCATTGATAGCGTGATTGAACAAGACCAAGCCGTCAATTTCCCAGTGGAACTCCTCAACTCCCTAGAGCCTCCTGGGTTTCCGTCTCACAAACTGAAGTTGAAAATTGGGTCTCCCAATGCTTTTGCGTAACATCAACCCACCGAAACTCCGTAACGGTACAAGACTATGCATCAAAAATCTTGTTCCTCACGTCCTTGAGGCAACAGTCTTGACTGGCACATATCAAAGTGAAACTGTGCTTATTCCACGTATTCCTTTGAATTCGACTGGGTTGCCTTTCGAATTTAGACGTCTGCAGTTCCCAGTTAAACTGTCATTCGCCATTACAATCAACAAAGCACAAAGACAATCTTTGAAGATAACAAGCATCAATATAGAAAACCCATGTTTTTCTCATGGCCAACTAATGTGGCTTGCTCGAGATTTGGATCTCCAAAAAATCTGCACATATACGCTCCACACAGCATTAAGCAAGTCAGGCACAAGTTCTTCAAAAAGGACCCCCCCCCCCCCCTGTGAAAGTCCCAAAATGACCCCTCCGCTTCACCTCCATGACCTTAGACTGTGATATTTTGAAGAAAACCAGCCTTTACTGGAGGGTTCTTGTTTTTTGGCCGTAGGCCCAACTTTCTGCGATTGCACAACCACACGCAACTTGACGGCAAGTTTTGAACTTGGTTAGACCTCTTTTCAGAGTTATAGTTTTTGCAGGGGTGGAGTATTTGGCTCCAAATTTTCGATATAGCAAGAAGAGGCTTTGCGCTCAATGAGCGATTTTTGAATATTGAAGGCAAGTTGAGGGGGTCAGGCGCAACCCCTCAAAAGCCCAGGCGGCCTGACCTTCTGAGGGGTTGCGCCTGACCCCATTAACTTTATTTTCGAGGAAGCTTTTCTATCCAAGTTTCATGTGATTCGCTAGCACAACTCTCGAAGATTCCACAGTAAGTGTTTGAGCTTGTTTTAACTTGTTTCGGCCTTGTAGTAATCCGTAAAGTTAAAGCACTTAATGTGAAGAACGCGCCGGTTCGAAATTTGGCAGCACTTCTTACTTCACTATTTGAAAGCGATATGAAGCCTGATTTCTAGCATACACTTGAAGGGAACGTTACTTTGTCATGAGTATAAAAAAGTTGACTATTTTCACTTTTGAAGCCAAGTTAATCATGTTTGAAAATCACGCTTTCTAGACGTTGCGAAACACTAGAAAATGCGGTAGGTAATGACTTTGGAGCTCATAGAGGTAATCTGATATGCTGATTATGGAAATAATACCCATTCCACACAGCAAGCTCATTTGGCGACCTCTTGATATGTGAAGGTATAAGATGAGGACTTGAATTTGGCTGAAATTTCGATTGTGGAAGCAATCAGTATGCGATGATTGCGATATCCACCGGACTAGCGCATTTCTTCTTCACCTTCGTAGTATCTCCCCAACTAAACGGATTCGGTTCTTAATTACGATCCCCCCCCCTCGGTCATACGCCCAAGACGATCCCTCAGGTCGGGCGCGCCTGACCTCACGCTCAACCCTGGCTCCACAAGGGGGGACCCGAAACGCTGTATATCAAAGAGCATTATCTTGAAGTTTTTAAATTCATTCGAAGGCGAGTTGGTTTTTTCACTTAATGTTGATCGACTCATTTCAAAATGTTGTAGGACGTTCAGCAATATCTTTTGCATTGAAAACAAGAACTTCGAATTAATTATTCAATTCGTGCCTAATTCTATTGTACTTAATAACTTCCTCTTATCAAATATTCACAATAAATATCCTCAAGAAGCCTACCGTCAATTTGTGAAAATGTTTGGGTACACAATCACAAGCATTCCAAACAATAGCAATAGATAATTGAGTGGAACTTGGATTCCCTAGAACAGCCGTGCAAAGCCGGGTACAGCAGTACTTTATAACAGTATAAAAGCAATATATTAAGAAAGAGGAGGTTCAAAAATTCAACAGAATATGATTTGGATAAAATACATGAGATGGGATCGTCAATCAACTTCTTCTATAGTTTTCTCCCTATGCCATATATCAGGAAACACCAAAACGGCGACAGTGACTGCGTACAGAGTACAAAAAATTACAATGAAGTTGAAAACGAAGTTGTAATTACCACACACCAGAGGTGCATCGCGGCTGTAAATATAAAGGTTAAAAGAGTCAAAGTAAAAGTTCTTGCTAAAAATCATGAAACTAAATGGAGTATTAAATGAGAAATGGATTAAGAGTAGCATTCTTGTTCAAGTACATATAAGTAAATATGAAATTTGGCATAGCGTTATAGATTAAGGCCCGTAAGAAAGCGCCTCATCTGTTAATGAGGAAAACCTCATTTGGAGGCGAGACATGCGTTCTGTAACATCTGACTGACAAGCGAACGATCCCAACTTAAGGAGGCAAATTGGAATGAACCGCATATCGTTAGATGCGTCTTGATGAGCTGATTCCAAATCTACCTTTCGTATCTGCGGAGCCGTTCTCTGCAAAAAGTTATAGGCGTTTGAAAATGTGAAGTCACTGGGGTTTCAGTGCATAATGTGCTTCAAAATCCAACTTGGGAGTGTATGACTAGCATGATAAGGAATGTACTAATTTCAAGAGATGCCCACATTCAAAGAAACACAAATAAGTGTTTTTAAACAACTAATTCTCGAGGTATGGCGTGTATTATTACCAAACTTGTACTTTTCATTGCTCATAACTTTTATTGACGAACTTTAGTTGCTTTTTAGTTGTTCAAAAACACTTATTTGTGTTTCTTTTGAATGTGAGCACTCTTGAAATAAGTACACTCAGTATCATGCTAGTCATACACTCCCAAGTTGGATTTTGAAGCACATTATGCATTGAAACCCTAGTAACTTTACATTTTCAAACGAGAGATCGGCTCTGCAGATATAAAAGGTAGATTTGAAATTAACTCATCAAGACGCATCTAATGATATGCGGTTCATACCAATTGCACCTTAAGTTGGGATCGTTCCCTTGTGAGAATCATACTCATTTACAAATGATATTGATCGTGAAACTGCGTGCATGCATGAACGAGTTAAATTCGTTTGCAACAATCCGAACTTATCTATACATTTTAGATTGGCAGTGACTTGCATCACTTGCCAGTTCTTATTGAGCTGACATGTCCGGTAGGTTACTCAAAAGCAGCTCCTGAAACTTTTCATATGCTCTGCTTTTGAAAACTCTATAACAACAAAGGGTGACTCGGAAAAACCAAGGTAGCGCGCGGTTTTAAGACTTTTTGAAGAACCTCAGGGCCCGGCACAGATCGTCTAGAAGCAGGCGGCTGGAACTCGTTTTTAGAGCAAAAAAGAAGGAGATATTGTTTTTGTCGAGTTGGGGCCGAGCACCAAGAATAAGCGCCATTTAGTCGAAGACAAGCTTTTCGAACAGGTTATCACACGATTGACATGCTCTATCGTGTAGCGGAAAGTGCGCGCGATCTGAAAGCAAGCCTCAAGTAAACTGCTTGTTTACGGCGCACGCAGAGTCTAATGACACCAAAACTGAACGTATAGAAAATTATTTGCAAAAGAATCATGTAAAGTTGAAAACTTATGTGAAGTTTACCTAAAACAAAATTAGTCCGTCTTCAGACGGTCACCGATATGAGATTGTCTGGAGCATACATTTCTGTCAGTTCACATAAGTTTTGGACTATTCTATCATGGACGGATTCCCCGGTCAAAAATCTATCTTTGAGCATGAGGAGTTGCATATCATTGCCTTTCCTTTGTTTTTGCCTTAATTTCTTCATGCATTGCTTTGTTAAATATCGCGCTCTGATGCCAAACTCTTGTACATGCGTAGTATTCAGCTCCAAACTGGAAATTCACTCTTATCTCACGTTTTCTCTTTCAGACTAATAAATCTCTCTTGTTTTTATCTTTTCCCAAGTAGGTAGGTCAAAAGGGTCTTCTCAAAATTTCCGAAAGTCAAGGGAGACTTCGTTTTCAGAAAACCTAGGCACCGACTAGTGCCGAGCCCTGACCTCCTAAACAGAGCCTTGTACGAAAGCTCAGTTCTGTACAAACTGTACATTATTTACTATGCTGTGCTTGAAGCGTTTTATTGCCTCTGCCCGCATCTGTATTTCGTGTCAGGGCTGCTAGCTCCAACATGTCTTTTGCTCCACGTTTCGGAGAGTGTGTAAAACGATAAGAATGGAGTTTGTGTACTCCAGTCTATCCAGTGAGAATGCGCTTGAGTGAACGCATCATTCGTTCTGTGTCGCTTCTGACACTCTTCTTCTTTACTTGTCTGAGATGTTTCTATGCAGGAAACTTGTTTTGCGCAGTCACTTTGCCTCTCTACTTCGAAGTATTAAGACATTGTTACTTTCTGCGCAAGACTTTTAATATTTAGCCCTGGCGATCTGCCAGCTTTTTAGAATTCTTTTCGCATGTGTACTTTTCTTGCACCCAATAGAACTTTGCATTCCCTCTTCTAGGCTCCTTTGGATTTCAGTGCAAGCTTTTTTCTTCCTTCAATGTTTTTGTCCTTGATCAGACTCAACGCTGTGAAGTGATTTCCTTTGCAAAATCGCGAAGCGTTTTTAAAGTGTCTTTGACATTAGAGGTTGTGTCTTCTCGTTTTTGCTTCGTTCTTCGGCTGTACAGCTTTCCATGGATCGCTGTTCCAAACGAGACATTTTCTTCTGTGCCTTCAGGTGCCGCTTCTGGACACCTTCTTGGCTGGTTTTGACTTTGTTCCTTGTTCTCTGTGTTGTAAAGTTTGCACGGCGTTGGGTTATACTTTGCATCCTTTTTTACAGTTCTTGGTGCTGTCGCTCGACCTCCTTCTTAAAATCCAGAAAACCTTTCCAAATATGTTGTTGTGTTGTTGCTTTTTCCTTATCCTTTGACGCAAACCATTATCATTAGTGCTGGCCAGGGCCCGGCACGCGTTGGTTTGGAGGTTTTTAGGAAACGAAGTCCCCCATGACTTCGCGAAAATTCACGAAGTCCCTCTCGACGTGAAAATCAGTAGGGAAACCCTTATTCAACCAAAATAGCAACAAAAAGCGAAAAAAACGCATTTTGAGGTATGTAATATAGTAAAAAAGCAAAAAGAAATCATTTCGAGTCGATTAAAGGCTCTGCCACTGGGTATAGTACTATTTTGAATCTGGGAATGTCGAAAATCTCCTAGGCCAACCAAATCCGTAGCCTCAACAATCCTGCGATGCATTTTTTGCCACATATTTCAATGGACACCGCAAGTGATTGGAGCGCGATATCTATCAACGCGTAGAATTATAATACTTTTGACTCAAAAAAAGGGGAGAGGCAACGGTTTGATCCGCTCTCTTCACTATATGATAGATTTTTTATCGTTCTAATCGTCCAAATCAAAAAGGTCCAAAACTTATGTGAACTCTCCGATATTTATACTCCGAACCAACCCAGTTGGTTTGGTAGTTGGTCTAGAAACCAACAAATTCGAGAACGGATATTAGGACACATAAGTTTTGGGAACTTTTTACATAACATAGTTTGGAGTAATATTGTATACATGTAGCCCAAATTCGGAGCCATGTGATTGTTTGCGCGCTGTAAACAAGCCATTTGTTTGTTTGTGTCTTGCATTTGAAATTCGCGCGCTTGCGAAAGAACACGTTCAACTCGTCTCCAAAAACGAAGTCCAGTTTGACCCCAAACCATCGGTGCCGGGCCCTGGTGCTGGCATCACTGGAGAGAGAATGCTCTTTTAATGGCTTATCAGAAGGCTTTGTTGCCCTCGCCAAAGCGATCTCAACCAATGGATTTGTGCTTGAGTCGAATTGTGCGCTAGACGATGGGAACGACTTCTTTGGTTGTTGTTGGTATAGTGGCCACCACGGCTGCATTGCTGTCACTTGTGCTATCTTAGTGAAGAGTCAGGAGCTGTTTAAGTCAGACGATGACAATGAATGGGTTATACTGGATTGCCTTTTCTGCCCATTCATGAGTCTGCCACTGAGTGCCACGGTCCTTTTCGTGGTCTCGCTCTTAGAAGAACGGTCCGACATGATACTAGTAGATGTCTTTTCCACAACTGTCAGTGTTGTATTTTCCGCTGCTGCCCATTGCCCTTTGTTTGTTAGTATTGGAATTTCTTCTTCAATCACTTCAATTGTCACCGTTGCTGACGTTTTTGACTGGTTTTGCGTTTCTGCTGCTTCTGCATAATCTTTATTTTCTAATAAAGATTTGTTCCACTTCCCTGCTTCTCATGTAGTAATCTTCAATGCATAGAGTCATGCTTTCTGTTGCTTTTTTTGCAATTGTCGCTAAGGTATGATACCACTCTATGGTTATTCGACTCACAAATGAGACAACTGTTAGACTCGATTCGATTCAATTTTTTGCAATTGCAATTTTAATATTATAGAGCTAAAGGAGTGTAAATTGGTCCGAATTTCAAATGTGTGAAAATCAATGGAGTTTGTTGTGTCCTACTTAAAACTTTTGGATTCAGCAAAATTACAAAGGTAGTATGAACTCACTCATTAGGGCACTCTCCATGAGAATCTACATATCGGAAAAAACCAATCGTAGCTTGTATATAGCTAATTGAGAAGAGCATGAATCCAACTGTTCGATGCAGAGGTCTGAAGGCGCGACTGATAAATCCGAAGCCGAACTGAAACGAAAGCAACTATAGAGAAATGGAAAAGGAATGGTGGTGATGGCTTAGGTGCTCAGATGGAAGACTATCGTAAACGGGCAGCGTACTCTCCTGAAGCGCGAAACTAAACTTTGATGAGATGAGATTCCGAATCACTTGCAAAATGAGCCTCATTTGACAGCGATGAGGCTTGTTTGCAACAAGCTTCAAGGCGTGACTCTATCTGACGAAAGTATTTATAAAACATATTTTCAAAGTTAAGTGATTCTCCTGTTCTTCAATAACTCTTCCTACCTCCCCTGAATCATACGATCAACAACTGTTTGTCGCGTACTATCAAGCTTAGAGCGATATGGTGAGCATACGTACCCGTAAAAAATCTTTTTTCAGTGACAGCCACTTTATCTAAATCCTTTCATGACTGAGCCACCAATAGCAGCTTCCAGGTCGCCTAGACCGAAGTTTCAGCATATCCAATACAGTTCTACCGAGTGTTTCAGATCCGGCGGTGGCAATTGCTACTATCAAGTTCAGAAGTCTTCACAGCGATGGTAGATTATTAACGCCTACTAATTGAGATTGCTTCAGATTATATTGCTTAGAAATAGCTTTTCTGCTGATAGAACCACGACTTGGTTCGAGATCCAATTTTCTTATTCCTATTAAGAATTCCTATCGCCACTTTACAAAAACTTACCAGTTTACAGGGCTTACCAGTTGCAGAACCTGGCGCACCACAATTTCGCTCTTGCACGGCCGCCTCGCTTATAATCTGCGCCTCCGCGAACATTCTAATCATTTCGAACGCGATTAGCGAGTGAAGCTCCGCCTCTTCCATGCGTGGTGGGAAAGGTGATAAGCGAGCATGTTTGCGAAAGAGGTGCAGAATCTAGGCAAGCGGCCGCCACCCGACTCTGCAAATGATGAGTCCTGTAAAGGTTTCGCGAAGAATCAAAACGAGCTGATCTTAGCAATTTGTCAGCCAGCCCTACAAATTTTGTCCGTTTTGACTTTTTGCCTCAGTAGTCATATTTACTTCCGTTACAAAGAGCCTTGCAAAACCTTTCAACACAAGCATGCTTTGTATCGAAAGGCCTCTGCATGAGCTTGGGAAAGACCGAGCTTTAATCGCCAATCGAGCTTGAAACGATTGGAGAGCACGCTCGCGAAAGAGTTGCAGAGCTCAGGCGAGACAGCGCGCGGGACCCGAGCAGCACGAGCCTCCAACTTTTTTGATAAGGCAGAGAGTACCACAGTCTTTTATGCAATATCATAGAGTTAATGAAAGATTTGTGTGTTATTTGCGTTATTTGCTCCTTGGTTACTGAGTTGCGTTCCAAGTTTATTGAACGTTTGACATCGGTCGCAATTTTGAGGGCGCTAAAATAATCTAGTTCAAAAAGAGGGTTGAATGAATATAGCTGAATGTGTCCGCTTGGTGCTTGAGACGCAGTCAGTGGTCAGGTAGTTCATGATTTACAGGGTGTCCAAAAATATGTATCAAACACTCTTTAATGACTCTCGTGTATGAAAACCTCTTGCAACTCTATACTGTAGGTACCAAGTTAGATTAACAGTCTGGAAAAAGGCACCGATCTTTGTTCATCACTATAGGTTACGTGGGAACTTTGATTATAGAGCTTCGTAGTAAATTAGCCGCCGTTGAGAGAAACCAAAAAATCTGAAGTTTATGTAAGTGTTCTCATGTGCACGCTGATTTCACTATTTAACGTTTCAAGGCTTTGTAAAGCTTTTCAGATGGTGCAATCACATTTTTTAGAGACTAGAAAAACAGCTGATACAGCATATTTGGCATAACTTTCAGAGAAAGCTCTACGGGAATGCAAAGTTTATGTTCAGTCTGTCAGCGGGTCTGATTACCCCAGTATAAAGGTTTAAAGTTTTTGAGCTGCATGATTCGCAAAAGGACTTTGAACCTTGTTCAAAATTAACACCGCTATCTTACAGCATTGAAGAAAGATCGTAGGTTCGCTTTATACCATAAGTCCAAATTGAAGCCAGCTTTACAATACCTTCTTTTGGAAAAACCGAACTGTTTCTTGTACAAAAGAGTGATTAAAACTCAAATCATCGCACATTTTTAAAGACATCCTGTAAGCATAAGTGTTGTAGACTGAAATCAAGATACGAGACAAATTACATACGTGTATGAAGTACATGAACATCAGAGCTATCCCAATCCAGCTGTGCACAGATTTGAAGTGGCTCTCGTTCTGAAACAATGCCATTTCCTAATTGGCACATGGAACTCTCTCGTGTGTGTTGTGTGTGTGTTGTGTTGTGTGTGTTGTGTTGTGTGTGTTGTGTGTGTTGTGTTGTGTGTGTTGTGTGTGTTGTGTGTGTTGTGTGTGTTGTGTTGTGTGTGTTGTGTTGTGTGTGTTGTGTTGTGTGTGTTGTGTGTGTTGTGTGTGTTGTGTTGTGTGTGTTGTGTGTGTTGTGTGTGTTGTGTTGTGTGTGTTGTGTTGTGTGTGTTGTGTTGTGTGTGTTGTGTGTGTGTTGTGTTGTGTGTGTTGTGTGTGTTGTGTGTGTGTGTGTGTGTGTGTGTGTGTGTGTGTGTGTGTGTGTGTGTGTGTGTGTGCGTGTGTGTGTGTGTGTGTGTGTGTGTGTGCGTGTGTGTGTGTGTGTGTGTGTGTGTGTGTGTGTGTGTGTGTGTGTGTGTGTGTGTGTGTGTGTGTGTGTGTGTGTGTGTGTGTGTGTGTGTGTGTGTGTGTGTGTGTGTGTGTGTGTGTGTGTGTGTGTGTGTGTGTGTGTGTGTGTGTGTGTGTGTGTGTGTGTGTGTGTGTGTGTGTGTGTGTGTGTGTGTGTGTGTGTGTGTGTGTGTGTGTGTGTGTGAAGGAGCAAACACCAAAGCGAGGCTTACCGATATACCTTTGTGAACTATAATAACAGCTAGAGCCACAGAAAATAAAACGACTACCAGAAAGTGGAATAACACATGAAAGTATCTAGAGATGGACTTCACCTCGTATCGATATAACCGATATGAGAGCAAAGCTGAAATTTTTTGAAACTTCTCATTTAGCAATAATGTGCTATGTGTACCTTCACCCTGGAAAAATATTAGCGATGTCGACATAAACATTCCATGAAAATTCACACCGCCATAATATTCCTTCGTGGAGTTTCTTTCTTCATCGTTCCTGTCCAAAGGCCATCTTATCCCGTGACCCATTGTGTTGAGCATATAACCTGAGAGCCTTAGCTACACAGAAAGATTTGCTCGAGCTTTCTAATTATAATTTTAATAACAAGGAAAGGTTTCAGTCGAAGTGGCTTTTTCGGATGAGATCCATAGCACTTGAAAGTGCACTCCACTTTGATTCCAAATCTGCCTTCATTATCTGCCAAGCGCCATGAACTGCTCTGCTACGCGACAGTGGGCATTTGGGGAAAATTTGTGTGCAGTTCCGGTTTCGAGTTCACTTTTTGATCCAGAAACGTTCATAGCACGTCGCCCAGAGGCGCTTGGCAGATAATGAAAGCACGTTTGGAATTAGTGTGCTTTTCAAAGCAGTATAGGTCTTATTTGAAAAGGCCACTTCAACCAAAAACGTTTGTAAGTTGAGAACTTCGTGTTTTCTCCTAATAGCTTGTATGCTTTTTAACACGTTGACGATTGAGCCATTTTTTGACCACATCAGAATGGACTGATGATCTACGGCTGCGGTTTAAACTGTTTAACAGCTGCCGCAATGCCGTGTGTTCTATATGACAACAGGCCACCAGTGTCACCGCATAGAAGTTACCTGAGAACTTTTCGTTTACACATGATAAATTGATGCACGAAAGTGCTAATGGTTATCAGGGCGTGCATACGCGCGGATGCACACGATCGTCGACGTGTTAAGCAAACGTGCAATCATGTTTTCACCATCAAATCATACCCACCTAGACGAGATGTGACTTTTATACAATGGGCATTTGCGAGGAGCGAGATGTGAACACCTACAGCCAGGTGTGTAGTTTCGTACAATCGCATCTAGTATACTTTTTAAGGGGGAAGGGGAGAAGGGGCGAGGACTGAGGGTATAAGGACATTCCATATAATCGTCTTAACAGAATCTGAGTCTTCACCAACAAGTCTTCTTCAAAGACGTTTCTATTAGGTTGTGTAATAAGTTCGTTCGCATTTTTTGTTTCAATTTTTTCTCGGTATTTTACAAGACATTTGGCATAGTGTTAGTATGCATTCGGAAGCTCTAAGTCTACTCTACCAAAATACTATAATTATATTCACAGTTTATAAAAAGTTGGATAAAAAATTGACTACAAACCGAAAAATCTGAAATGGCGAAAATCCCATTTTCGACAACTATGTTATGCCGCACCTTGAATGGGTTTGAGCTCTTGAGAAACAGCTCAAAAATTTTGCGGCATGTATGAATAGAATACTATAGCTCCCGCAGATTACCTGTAGTGCTAAAACCTTTCAAAAACAATTTATATTGTAGGCTAAAAAATGGGTATGTTTTTATGTCTTTCTGCTGTCAACGTTAAGCATCTGAAGGCACCTCTGAAGAAAGGTGGTAGCCGAACAATCCAGGAATTGGCAGACATGTGGTCTATGATCGCTTTTGGCTTATATAGTCAAAAATTCAAAATTCGAGGGACACTTAGCCCACGGACGCGAGACAACGAACACCGCTGCGGCAAAGCCTTGCTACGCCGAGTTTTGCAAAAATTGCACTAAACGGTCGGTGAATGGAAATGGGCAATCGTAAATAGTATCAGTAAATGCGTAAATTGTTAGTCATTTGTTTTTCTTCCTTATCAAGCTTTTTGAGTAAATTTCAACAAAGAATAATGGGAAAACTAAGGAAGAAAAAAGATGTCGAAAATGGGATTTTTACCACTTCAGATTTTTCGGTTTGTAGTAGAATTTTTTATTCAAGTTTTCAAAACTGAAAATATACTGATAGTATTTTGGTAGAGCAAACTTAGAGCTTCCGAACGCATACTAACACTATGCCAAATGCTTTGCAAGATATTGAGAAAAAATCAAAACAAAAATGCGAACGAACTTATTACACAACCTAATAAAGATTTTTTGTTTGAATCGAGACAATTCGTAGGATATACGGTCCCGTTAAATGGAATACATCAGCATCAAACTTGTGCCATGCCATTGTTCACATATTTGAGTACGCAGTCTGACGGCCTTTATCATGGTATCTTTCTTACGTTTTTCAATCCTTTCATCGACGCTTACACCACCCGGTAAGCTTTATAGAGCCGGCTTGTGAATTTTTTTGGAGGGGGGGGGAGGTCACCGAATTTCCGTTTGAAGCCTGAGCTAATCATACACTGAGATTTTTTGAGATCCCCGAACCTTCTCATGCCTCGTAGACCACAGTCACGCCCTGAAGACAACTTTTGGTTGAGCTAATTTTTGTGGCTATATTCATATCTATAATATTGAAATTGTAGAGCAGGAACATACCGTTTCACTTGATCGAGCTTTGTGGTACAAAAAAAAGAATCCACCGCGCTACGCGCGCTAAGGCAGGCAGACACCAGTTAGGTCCGCATATTTCAAATAGAAAGCGAAGCTGATCATCCAACACACTAATCTATGACAGTGATTATCAGCAGTACGATTAGGATTGGGTACGACTAAGGGCCGCATTCATTAACATCCCCGCTGGTGAGAGAATCGCAGCCTGAAAGAAAACTTCATATCCTGAAGCTTTCCAGATATCTGAATTTCACGCTGTCTACCTATCAGTAAGTATTCCCCCCCCCCTCTTTCATTATGAACATATTGAACAGAAGAGAAGCTGTACAAGCCGCATTTTCCAGCTTTATTTATAGTCTGCCCCAATCGGGATCAGGCCGAACCGTCGGCTGAATTTGCGCGCTCGCAGCGCTAGGGGATTGCGCTGCATACGCGCGCTGTCGCAGAGAGTGAAGAGATCGAGGAGAGAGCAGACTAGCCAGCCGCAGAGTGGCGCGAAACCCTCGCGGCGCGGATTCCCGCCATGCCGATTTTGGCCTGGTTAGAATTGGGGCAGACTGTATGATCCCCTGGTAATCCACGGCGGCCGACCGTTTTTCCTTCAAAGTCATTTTTCTTTTTCGAAGTGACCGAAAACATTCCAAAGTTGTACTGATATCCAAACCAACACTGTCAAGCATGTTGTTGATAAGAACAAATGATGTTTTGGAGTCACGAAATTCTCGTTGAAGCACAGGTCGAAAGTTGGGGTTTATCGAAGCTCTCGTTTTTTTCAAGAACTCTTGTTCTCATCAGTAAGACGACTTTGGTGAAAAGTCAGTCGGCCGCCGGGGACCATCAGGGGATCATATATAAAGCTGGAAAATGCGGCTTGTACAGCTTCTCTTCTCTTCCATATGTTCATAGTAAAAAGTGGGAATACTTACTGACAAGTAGACAAATCAAAATATCTGGAGTGGTAGTAATATGGTCGAAATCAACGAATAATGTGATGGTTCAATCATGATTACATCGTGGTGGGCATGACCATCTTCTTACAACCACTCAGTTCAATCGGTCATACAAAATCATGAAACAAGCAGGTAACTTTCGGGAAACCATACTTGTTTCATACTTGTTTCATTCTCAACCATAATACGAAGTTTCCAGCTGATTGACATCACTTCTTTGTTATCAAATAGAGTAATGAAAATAACACTTTATTTGATGAGACGCAGACGTAAAACCATCATGTAGTTGTTAAAAATGAAAAAGTACCCTTGACCACTTCTTCGTTTGAAACAATGATGTACTGGTTTTATAAGTTAAGAAGAATGAGGGACATCATTCCGCAACATGCTATGAGAAAGCTTATTTACAGTTTAGATAAGGTTATGGGAAGATGCAAGGTGAATACCGAAACGCAAATTTGGTAAAGTGCAATGAAGGCGGTCAAGCATGACTGGAAGTTCTGTCCCCATCATTGACATCGCTTTGCTAAATCTAGAATCGAATAAAATATGCTTAATTTCTTCGCTTCTGATTGGTTACCTTGTAGTTTCATCGAGAAAATGATGTGAAGCTACAGCTTACATCGTGTAATGAAAACTTAGTAAAGATTATGATTCAGACCAAATTACTACCACTTCTGAAGTTTCAGGATAAGAAGCTTTCTTTCAAGCTGCGGTCCACTCCCCCGCGGAGATATTAATGCATGCGGCCCTAAGATGAAAGAAAAAGTGCGTGTACCAGTGATGCTGATGGGCTACTGGTGTATGGTAAAATACTTTGAGTCATCTTATCAGGTTGCTTGATTATTTTTGGCACTTCAAAGAGATTTTGACGGTGACAGTTCGTAGTTTTCGGTACTTTAAGGGTACAAATCTCTAAATCCTCTTATTACCAATTTAGTTGGCATCTGTCACACATTTCCACGAGCAAATCAGCTAAGTTTTGCTCTAAAACACTCAAGATCCAGCATTCGATGGCGTTCGGCAGATATTGAGAACAGATGTTGTATTAGCAACTGAAGGTCTTCATAGTGAATAGATTCCATTCAATAAGCCCACTAACACTCTCCTTGTAAGGTTAGGAATTCGTCTTCTATAGGAGAAATTCGTAGAATCCGAATCACTATTAAGTCACTGACATACACTTTTTCCTAGCAACTCTCCCAGCGTCCATGTTTAAAGTAAACCTATTTTCTACCCTCATGTCTTATCATTCAGAATTGACGTCAGAAAGTATGTTAAGTAAGAAATAAGCTATGAAGGAAGCAAAAAAAGATCTAAGGATCAACAGGCTTGAACTTATGAAAGTGTAAGAAACGCCACTTAACAGAATCTGCTTCGAATAGACGACTGGGCACCGTTCTACCGTCGGCGCCGCTGAATGAGCTAACTTAACGCAGACGTTTGTAAACGCCCATTTTACTCATTGGTTTCTCAAGTATTCGCCAGCCCTCTGGCTTGACTAATAGGGTTCTTTGATGACTACGGTTGATCTTTCTCCTGTTTGCTCGCTTGGCTGCAGCTTAGCAACGCCAAAGGAGTCACAATCGGCTTGCCGCGCAAGGCCGAGCCCTGGCAACGACCGCGTTGAAATTTCATGTACCAGGAATTGGGATAAATGTCAGTGTAATAACTTCTGGTCAACATAGTCATGGTACTCGGTTGCGCGTATGTGCCGCAATTTTAGCTACCACAGTTTGGTGTGATTTGCGGAGTATTGGCACATAATCAAGGACACTTATCTGAGCCAGTTTCCTATGCTACATGGTCCATGATCGGAATATTTGCAGTGACTTAAAATTGCATATTTAGACAGGAAATAACATAGAGAACCAATCAAACAATCATGAAAAATGAGGCATTACTGGGTGAGTGCAGATACTCAAGAATCATGCAGGAAAGACATTGAAAAAACATTCGAAATGCGAATATATTTCATTATTTCTCACTTTTCGTTTTGGTTTCAGAGCTTCTGCCCTACGACAGAGTGAGCATGCCGTTACATTTACAGTCTTCGATTCCCGCAGCGATTCTGCGTTTCAGCATTGACGGAAACCGTCCTAATTCAAAATGTAAGGGTTTAAGAAACGTATGTTCTCGATGTTTTTGCATTTTCTAAGGTTACTTTTCGGATACTGCGCTACGAATAACCCCAGGTAAGTGAGTTTGCTAAAAATCAAGTTCTTACCCGGACACTACCTTTGAATTCAAACACGGTATGGAGACCGGAACTAGAGCTTTACGATAATAAAAGATAAGAAAGTAAAGACGGATGATTCTTCCTGGTACTGAAACGCTGGCGATAACATTGAGTATTTGATAAAATTCAAGATATTTTCTCCGTGAATAGAGCATGAAAAGATAATAAAATAAAGACGGATGATTTATCCTGGTACTACAACGCTGGCGATAACATTGAGTATTTGATAAAAATCAAGATATTTTCTCCGTGAATAAAGCATGAAAAGATAAAGTAAAAACGGATAATTCTTCCTGGTACTGAAACGCTGGCGATAACATTGAGTATTTGATAAAATTCAAGATATTTTCTCCGTGAATAAAGCATGAAAAGATAAGAAAATAAAGACGGATGATTTATCCTGGTACTACAACGCTGGCGATAACATTGAGTATTTGATAAAAATCAAGATCTTTTCTCCGTGAATAAAGCAAGCCAATTACTTTGTTACCTTTTCCACAGTATTTATAGTAATATCTACTGCGTGACGAAGGCGGTTGCCCAAATAGGCTGAAGGTTGTCGCGCACGCGGCGCGCGGGCAATTGTCAGTCATGTAGCGCGCGCACGCTCGGTCAGCGGCTGGCTGTCGTACCGCCGCGCTCCGTGGATGACCGCTGAGCGAGCGTGTGTGCGCTCCATGGCTGACAATTGCCCACGTGCGCGACAGCCTTCAACCTATCTGGGCAACCGCCTTCGTCATGCAGTAGATATTACAATTAAATACGAAGAATAAATGCGACCAAAACGTAAGCAATTACCTTGCGCACTTCGCATATTTCAATAATTTTTTTTTACTTGCACGTGCTGTACTATCAATTATAAGCTTTTAGATAAAGAGTCACAGACACAAAAGTAAACTCACCACTGAGTATCATAAAAATAAAGCCAAATAGTTGATTGATTGGTAATATCAGATCAAAATAAAAGTAGCGCCGAGGATCAGGTAGATGCGCAAGCATCACTGTAACTCAATATATTGTCTTATGACTTTTTCGGATCCATGCATTTGCGATAGCAATTGATTCATGCGACGTAATGCCTTATATGACAAGTAGAGAGGTTCTCAGAAAAGATAAGCCTTTCAAGTGATATCATATCAGTTTGGAAAGACAACGGGAACTAAAAAAGAACAAACTCAAAAGTGTAAATAAGTGATATTGACAGTCGAAAAAAATGCGAAGCTTATTAAATGATTGTTGAGAGCAATGTGCAGTCATTTGCATTGCATACTGGAATTCCTGTCATCGCTTATCACAAAAACAGTGGTATGTGTACACCTCTCATTCGTAGCTTTCAAGATTCGGGTTTAGTGTTGCTGCTCAATTTTCTCATTTGCAGTTTTTTTTTGATTTCATACATGATTTGTTCACGGAAATTCTAATAAATCCCTTTTTACATTGCTGTGATTACTATTTACTGGTCAAATCCTATGGTGCCACAACGCAGGTTCCTAAAATCTAGATTTGTTAATATGTTCAGTAATCAGTATTACTCATCACGTCATCGAGTTATTGATAAAGAATGATGACGTTTAGTTTCTGTCAAATGTGCAGGTGCTTGCTTTTTTCATGAACAACTCTACTGTAAAATCATGTCATCGATCAACAGTTTTTGGGAAAGAGTTAGAACTTTAAGTTTTTGATTTTCATGTGAATCTATTCTCACTTTAAAATATTTTGTTCGTTAACAACCATTTCGTCTGTAGTGGTGCTTCCTTGTCAACAGCATAGTATTACTGATATTGACTTCTAATTACATGGCGAAGTCACTTTTACAACACCTTTTTACTAAAAATGCTATGTTAAAATAGCATTTAGCTTACGAGATCCCGTATAGTTCAAATTGTATGTAGTCGGATACAATTCAAACTCCGTATCATTATCATCTGCCGTCCTGCTTAATGCAAAATTGGTCATGGATTGCTACAAATTCCCCTATTGAGCGAAGATGTTGGTTCTACCGATAAAGGCTTTGTGCCAATCTGGAGTATTAATTATTAGCTCATCAGCTCTGCACACAAAAAAGCAAGAGTTACTCATTTTTTAAACGGATGAAAGTACGTGACAAATGTTTTTTTTCATTGTTAAACTCTGTTGTTGCCTTATTGTGTTACCCAAAACCTACATAATGTGGGTTAACAATGCAAAACCCAATTCACGCTCTGTACTTTCACAGTTCTCTTACTACACTTTCAAATCATATACACCGAATGCAAGTCTGCTCGAATGACTCAAAATTTTACGATGAACACTTATCAAAACTAGTAATGTACATACTGCTCATCTCATGCCTATTAGAGATCTGCTAAGCTTTTCATCGATGACTAGAGCAGGCCTTTCCAGTGAGAGTTTTATTCAAACTTGATACCTATACAAATCTCGCCTATATAATTTTGGTTCCCAGGCCTAAATTAGTCGTAGCTGGCTCTTTTAGTTTTTTTCTATTTTAAAACAGATGTATACTTGAACAAAGTGACCCTTCATTGATTATAGCTCAGATGAGAAACGCTAACATTTACTCCACTTCATGTGATTATTCGGTTAAGTTCGCAACGATTAACAAGCATTGCTCACATTTGAAGCTCCGTGTATTTTTGTGATTGAGTTTTAGCAGCACAGTGAATTTCTCAAAAGTACACCCAAATCTTGGAAGTGCAAATTTGTTAAGAAAACAAGCATTCGTAATTCTGCCAAAGGCAGCATCAATGTGTTAAAAGGAAACTCAGAGGTTTTTTTGTTCACATATTTTCAGTTTTGAACACATAAGACCCATCTAACATGCGTCATCTGCATTGACTATGATAGTGCAGAAGTCATCTTCATATTCATCACATCCGAGAAACGAGAATCACATATCTCTGCTTATCTTTGCAATACACGCGATATTATGATGTCATTGCATGAAGAGGTGCTGTCATCTTCCCTTCCATTGCTAGAGGTCTTATCAAACCCAAAAAACTACCCTATTTTCAGGTGTACAAGCCGCACCCTTTTCGCTTTAGAGTCGAACACGCCAAAAGACTGACTGTCATCATGGAGCGCATTAAGTGAGAGCAGTATGCGATAAGGCGAACGCTTCGCGAGACATATGCCTGGGTCTGCTCGCGTTTAGAGCAAAAAGGGTGCGGCTTATACACCTGAAAATAGGGTAATCATGCAGCGCATTCGATTGAACTTGAGAAGTTACGAACTGCAATGAGTAAACTCAAGTTGAATCTCAAGAATAAGATGTCAAAATATTTCTTGTACCTTTCAGAAAGTGAAAGTATATAAGGTGTCTTCACTTATTGCTGCTCTAACTTATTCAAATAACAGACAGGGTAAGCAAGATCAAAGCTAACAAAATGATAAGACGTGCACAGAGGGCATCCAGTCAACGCTTTTCTTTTTGAACTCCTGTTCGGAACGCTCCCTGAAGGTTTCAGAATTGTCGCGGTTCGGCTGACCACCTTGACCGGGCACGGATGATTACATTAGGGACCCCGACATCCTGGGAGAACGAGAGAAGGGACCTAACTCAAACGGCTCATCAATCGTTGATGTCCTTGAACAGCTGTTGTGATAGAAAGAATGACTTGAGATTTGTCAATTGCGGAAAGTTGTCGGTTTCCATGAAATCTTCGTTAGTGATTACCTAACAAATACTCGTTCCTAAGGATATAAACATCTGTTAGTGTGTACAAAGTTCTTGATTTATGCGTGTGGCATTGTCAACGTGGTCACCTTCAACCCTGACTAAGCTGAAGAAGTTCCAACAAGATTTATGGAAGCAACCGTTGCAATGGGATGACCTCATCCAGGGTCACTTATGCGAAGAATGGAAAACTCTGAGAAAAAATGCAGATAACTATGAGAGAACGGTGCCCAGAAATTTGACGTCAGAATCTCAGGCATATTCCATAGCAGTGTTTGCAAACGCAAATAAAATAGCTACGGCAGTTTGTGCGTACCTAATGAACGAAGATTTTTCTTCACTTATAATGACAAGATCAGAATTACCTTCGATCAACACACATACGACAATACCAAAAATGGAGTTGAATGCGCTGCCTATGGCGGTACGACTCGCGAACTCAGTTTCACAAGCGATTAATAGGAGTACTAATGCATTCTCGCGCAGAATTATCATCCTATCTGATTCGCAAGTAGCGCTGAACTGGCTTATCATGGATCCATACCAGGACAAGGCAGGAGTTCTGGCCAGGAATAGAATCAATGAGATCCACGAAATTGTGATACTACAGGGAGAAAACATTTGCGTGTACTTCAAGCATGTCGCAACTAAAGAAAACCCTGCTGACTTGGGTACTCGCGGTACAGACGCTCAAGGAATTGACAGTGAGCTCTGGTGGCACGGACCGCATTTCTTACGATTACCGCTAGAAGTCTGGACTAGAAGTACCAATTCTTCGTACAACCTCCATCAAGCGGAAAAGAAGTTGGAGTCAGCAGTGCTTGCAACACGAACAAAACAAACGTTAGACCACGATGGACAAGAATCTCCCTGGGATTTGTATAGCACACATAATGTGTGCAGCAAGAAGAGCGATTATACGGTACCATCAAAGAAATCACCTCACGGGCGCGTATAGGTCACCTCAAGGTACTTTTGTGAATACGGGTACTTGCTGATAATGAGTGATAAAAACACCTGGATTTACCTCAAGGTATCAATGATAAGTACGGCTACCCCAATCCCGCTCCAAATAAACTTTAAACTATGGAATTAAGAGAAAGCCAAAATCTCGTTTGTCCCATTTTTCATTTTGAATATCTCAAATCAGAAAAGACCGATCAGGTCCAAATCACTTTTGTGAAAACTACGAGGTTTAGGCTACCGAACATAGTTATTCTTGCCGCCTTCCCTCTCGATTCACTTTAGTGGCGGGGACTCAGCATGTTACCGTAACCCAATATTTTCGCAAAATTTTCTTTCTGCACAGGCAAGAAAACACAACTGTATATTTTTCTATGAGAGATGCTTTGAATGAATAACTACTATATAGAAAATAAGGAAGGTTCAACAGTGGCGATATAACAAAGATATTTGGATGTCATGAAGGTCGGTTGATAGGATGCGGCACAACTCTTGAAAAAGTATGGCGCACAGCTTTTTTAGGGTGTGCGACACCCAATTGACTTACTCTGAAGAAAGCTTTAGCGAAATATAGTCAATTCGATAGAGCAAACCTCGTAAATCTCAAAACACGAGTTACTTAATCCGTGTTCTTTAAACTGAGAAATAGTTGCTGAAAGCGTAACGAATAAAAGTGAAAAATGGGACAAATGAGATTTCAAACGGCTTAATTCCCTATGATGGTTATTCTGGGTGGAATCAATGACATGAACAAGCAGAGAGCACGGCTCTGTATTCAGTGCAAAAAAAGTAGCTAGTTCACTTTTGAGATAAAGTTAACCATGTTTGAAGGCTACTATCTCACTTGACTGGCCCAATATTGGAAACACTCAGATTCGTTAAGGCCCGTATGCACGCGTACATTCCCGCGAGGAAGGGAGGAACTTTGACAAGGAATAAAAGGCTGGTTGAAGTGGTCTTTTAGTATGAAATGCGCATTGTTTTGTAGAGCTTAGAACGCTAATTTCAGATCTACCTTTGCTACCTGCTGCGGGCTTGTGAGCGAGAATTAGAAGTTTTTTGTGAGTAGAGATTTAAATGCAAGATTAGTATGAGACAGTAGTAACCTTTCCTAACGTCTAAATGAGACAGCAGCGAGTTGGCATACTTTAGTCAAAAATATTTGTTGCACCGAGGGACTAGACTACTCGTTACCTTAAGAAAAGAATGCGACTGAATTTACACTAATCTTGCGTACAACTTTTTAGTCACAAATCCTTCATATCTCCTCCTCAGAAGCCCGCAGTGGATAGCGCAGACTTGTAATCAGCGTTTCAAGCTCTACAAGGCTGTATAAATTTCACTTCAAATGGCCACGTCGGCCAACCTTCCTTCCCATGTGAGGGGGATGCGTCATAGCTCGCTAATCTAATCATCTTTCTTCTTCTTTCTCTATCTGGCGGTGAAGGTCCCCATACGCTGACACCAGTGGCGGTCCCAGGATTTCGGACCGGGGGGCGCGGAAAATTTTTTTTTCAAATGAAGGTGCGTGGCGTTAGCCACGCACTCCGAAGAAATTTTAGGAGTGCTTCTCAAAATTTTTGCGGGTCCCCAACCCCTAAAATCTGGAAAAAGGGGGCGTGGCGTTAGCCACGCCCCCGAAGAAAATTTTTTATAAGGCTAATTTGAATTTTTAAGAAATTTTAAAAATTATTTTAATTATTTACAAAATAAACAAGTCCTTTGCACACTTTTATAACCCATAAAGGTAAGTTTCAAAAATTTCGCAACCCATTCTCGGGGGGGGGGGGGGGCGCCACCCCCGCCCCCCCCCCTTCTCGGTCCGCCACTGGCTGACACTTGTGCAGAATGGATTCCAGGTTTTTGTCATACTTGTGTGATCCCCCGGGAATCCCCGGGGATCCCCTCCCATTTTCAAAGTAATTTATCTCGCTTGAAACTCCATCAAAACGCTGTAAAGCTGCACTGATATACTACGGCACTGCTAAGCATGTTTCCGAAAGAAAAAATGGAATCTGATGATTGTGAATTTTTCGACAATCCCTACTTAGACCCCCGCCATTGACTTCCGCAGGAGACCACAAAATGGCTAGTCGCACCAAAATCTGGTGCACCGGCGGGAGTCATCATTTTTTTGTCCCGATTTTGGTGCGATTTTGTCCCGAAGCGCGGGCGCATGTTTGAACTTCTACTCCAAATTACTGAATTCATTCTGTCGTTAGTTTCATTTTCAACTCAACTTCCAAGAAAGATCCGCTCTCATTTCCTCTTCATACATAAACCAGGCTTATCATCATTGCTGCACCGTAGGTAAGTGCAGGCTTTTCGCAAGTGAGGTGTGCGATGCTCAAATCGGCAGCGTCAAGTTCATGTTCACCCCTCATCCTGGCTTTTTGAAGGTGGAAAACTCTTTATAACAGAGTGATGTTTAGTAGTTCATAATATCAAATTGAGGTTTCCTCCTCAAGATGTCAGGTTTATGTTTTTCTTCTACTACTATTGCGATTACTGATTACCTATTCCGAACTTCTGCGGACCTCAAATGAATATAAGCGAAATCCAAACAGGTAACGTTCTAAGAAGATCTTCATGTGCAGTGGAATGGATGGTGGATGTCCCTAGCGAACGAGGACGATGTCGCGAGGAATTCTTCAACAAACTCTCGGAGGCAAGGGTGGTTTGGAGCGGTCATGCAAGAATAGCAATATGGAGAGCACTGTGAGATTTCTCACACCGATAGAAGAAGCGATGCTTTTAGACTGTACTTTTGCAGCACAGACATCCCTCCTACCATTTTGACCCGGAAGGAGCCGCGCTCCTTCCATCAAAGGTAATTCACTGTTTTACATGATCACTGGTATTAGTAATTTTTGATTTTCAGAAAAAGCGTGTCGTTATCGAAGACCGAAGGCAGCACTATCACCAAGGAGCTAGTGACTGAGAAGACGAATGCGCTGAAGATGAAGGAAGAGAATGAGGAAACTTGATGATATTGTCTACATTTTAGTTTTTGCTGTATTCTTCTCGTAACCCTGTGTCGCAGTTGTAAAGATCCTAAATCTTATTTGCTGCTTTCTGTGCATTTTTCGATTCTAATGTAAAGCCTGCTCGAGAAGATTGTAGTATTTGTTAATAAATTTGTTGGCGTTTTACTGGGTTTTACGAGCAGAAAAGTGAGAGGCGTGATAAATGAGACCCAAAGAGGCCAACGGCACAAAGTAAATGAAGGGGGAGGCGTGGAAAAGACGTAGAGGTCGCAGAGCGTTTATAAGAGCGTAAGCCGCAAGTTCTGAACGATCGGGACATTATAGGCAGTGTCCCGGCAGATTCGGGTCCTGGGGGATATATGTGTGGTGGGGTTCCTGGTCACACCATCGACCTCCAGACGCACTCCAGCTGTGTGATGTTCCCTCTGGGCCGAGAAAATGGCCCTTGAACCGGCGCGCGCAACCCCAACTGGCGCGCGCTTGGACGGCCTTCCCCGCCTGTTCGTCGCGGGACCCCACGAGCGCTCTCCCCCATGATGCATGCTATCCAAAGCAAGAATTACAGGCGGCAGGATCTTCGTCTGAGAACCTCCCCCAACTTTCCATTAGAAATCTCGTCCAAGCTGCTTTTCTGGAATTAGGAAAACGCCCCAAAATCGGCCTTTTAAGCCCGTTCAAAGCTCAAATTCGGATTCTACGTGGCGAAAAGGCCTAAAACATGCAAAAAGGTGGAGGTGCAAAATCTGCCGGGACACTGCCTTTATGGTGTCTCTCGCAGGTGTTCCGATTTTGTCCGGAATGTGTCGGTCGGGACACCTGAATTTGTGGCGCGTTTTTGATCCGAAATAAAATCAGGTCTCCTAATTTTATCCCGACACCAGTTTCGGGAGTCGCGCAGGCATTCCGTGACTACAACCCGTTTTGTCTTGAGGAAGTCAATGGCGAATGCCTGAGTAGCTCGCGAGCAGTGGTTATCGAAGATTTTGATATTCTGAGATTTTACTTATTTCTATTTACTTTAAACATGTTTAACAGTGTTATATTAGATCCTCACTACAGTTTTACAACGTTTTCATTAAATTCTCAGGAGAATAAATGACTTTGAAAATGAGAGGTTATCACCTGTAGATTTCCGACCACACAAAAGTGAAATCTTGTCATGTATAACAGTGATCTGGCATCCACTTTGCGCAGCTATCGGGGTAAGAGAACCTTCATAAGCCACAGAGAAAGAAGAAGAAAGATTTTGGAGTTGCGAGATATGACGCGTCCCCTCTTATTGTTAGATCCCCTCCCTTCCCAGCGGGGAGTAAGTGCATACGGGCCTAAAACTGGAGCTACAGGGGTTATTTGACATGCATTATCATTATGCCATTGACTAAGCTTGGCACAATATATGCCAAGATATGTCAAGAATAAGGATAGCTGGCAATAGTGGCACCCTGATGTCCTGGTGTTCAATAAACGGTACCGCACCGAACCAGCAGCGGACAAGCTCACACGGGCACTATATTTGGTAAGGTAAATGCCCGAAGCTATGTTCTTCTTTATTTATGCTTTACTAGCTGGCTTACCCGGCTCCGCCGTATCCGGACCAAACTTGGCACACATACACTTCGGGCCCCGGCGGGTGTCACAGTCCACTTTTCGTTATCGATCGATGTCGATTTTATCGATTTTTATCGATTTTTTTGCAGAGTTCACCTACAGGGCTAGGAGTTGGCACAGGGGGGGGGGGAAGTGAGCATGGGGATTCCGAATACAATATTAGTTTTCAGAATTATCGATTACTTTTATTGATTTTATCGATTTTTTGTAAATTTTGACATGCGAGGCTGGGATTTTGCACAGTGGGGTAATCGAGCATGCTGATTACGAACACAATATTAGTTTTCAGGATCGTCCATTACTTTTATCGATTTTATCGATTTTTTTGTAAAGTTTGACCTGAGGGGCTGGGAGTTTGCACAGGGGTGTAATCGAGCATGCTGATCACCCCCCTTGGGGATGATCAGCATGCTCGATTACCCCCCTGTGCCAACTCCCAGCCCCCTAGCTCAAACTTTGCAAAAAAATCGATAAAATCGATAAAAGTAATCGATAATCCCGAAAACCAATATTGTATTCGGAATCCCCATGCTCGATTACCCCCCTGTGCCAACTCCCAGCCCCGTAGGTGAACTCAGCAAAAAAATCGATAAAAATCGATAAAATCGATATCGATCGATGACGAAAAGTAGCCTATGACCCCGCCGGGGCCCGTAGTGTATGTGTGCCAAGTTTGGTCCGGATCGGTTCAGAAATGGAATTTTCTATTCGGAACATACGTACATACATACATACAGACAGACGGACAGACATACAGACAAACAGAGCAGCTTGGACGAGATTTCTAATGGAAAGTTGGGGGAGGTTCTCAGACGAAGATCCTGCCGCCTGTAATTCTTGCTTTGGATAGCATGCATCATGGGGGAGAGCGCTCGTGGGGTCCCGCGACGAACAGGCGGGGAAGGCCGTCCAAGCGCGCGCCAGTTGGGGTTGCGCGCGCCGGTTCAAGGGCCATTTTCTCGGCCCAGAGGGAACATCACACAGCTGGAGTGCGTCTGGAGGTCGATGGTGTGACCAGGAACCCCACCACACATATATCCCCCAGGACCCGAATCTGCCGGGAAGAGGGGGGGGGGGGAGGGGGGAGGAGGTCGTATCCGACGGTTGTGACCTCATCTGTTGCTTGATCCTGATCTCTACATCTACCGCAGCATAAAAACGAAGTTTTCAGAAAGGTGATCTTTTAAAAATTTAGCCATATCGGGGCATAAGTGTCCTATACGACAGTGGAATATTCCTAGTAGCTGTGTGATGATAGGCTTTCAGTTATAGTCGTCCTCCCCCACTAGACCCTAGTGGACGAATTCGAATATGACGTAGAGCACACCGGCTGCGGCAGAGCTTGGCACCCTGAAATGTATTTCAAGCTAATGCAGTTTTCTTTTGTGTTTTGTTGTCGTTGCATTGTGATTTTTTGTTTCAGTGGTGACTGTAATCAAAATTGAAGAGTTTTTTGTTGCTTCGATGTTTTGTACCACTATGCTCGTTTCTTTATTCTGTTTTCAGGAAAGGTTGGAAAAACGATGCACATGGAGGATTTTTGACATGAGGTGTTCAATGAAGCAAATCCTTCAAGATTTGCCAGGAAGAATTTCATCAGTTTTCAAACTTAGTCTTACTAGGGAGGTCAATTAGTCGAAGTGGCCTTTCCAAATGAGTCTTATACCACTTTGAAGAGCATCAAACGCTGATCCTAAATCTGAATTTATTACCTGCCGAGCGCTTCTGCATGCCGAGTTATGGATATTTTCTTGGTGCGAAAAATGAAAGCATAATTTAAGTAAAATCAAATTTTACGGTCTTTTCAGCGCTCAAATAGAGCAGTGTTGAATATGATTGCTTTGAACAGAAGGTATTGTTCAGATAAAGTGCACTGATAATCAACATTGGACCACCGGAGCAATTCTGACGAATTTTGTCCTAATTGTGCATTCAATTTCTCAACTCAAAAAACGCTCATAACTCGACGTCCAGAGGCGCTCGGCAGATAACGAAGACTGATTTGGAATCAGCGTTTGATGCTCTTTATAGTCGCATCATTTTCATATGAAAAGGCCACTTCGACCGAAAAGACCTCCCTTGTTAGTTTTTCCAAACTCTACACGAAGACGTAGCCAAAGAAGCGAGCATAGCAGCAGGATCCATCGCTCAAAAGCAACAATTTCAATACGAATCGAGAAAAGCGTTAGGGTTCTTAAATTAGGTTGAAAGGTCGCGAAAACACAAGAAAAATGTAGGCGTCTTGTGGGAGGGGGGTAGGAGGGGAAGGACGACTATACTTCTCCTCAAAAAATCATGGATAGAACAAATTTTTTTATATTGCATGCCAAAACGAACTTATTTTTGAGCCAGCCTAATAGACTATTTTAATTCTCCAAAGTGTTGAACTACTTGAAGGTATGGATATCATTTATTGGATATAAAACGAAATGACCCTCCTTAATTCAGTTTTTAGTTCAATTCGTGCTCTCTCTATATACCCATTCATCGCAAATACATATATCCTGCGCTGAATACAGACAACCAAAATTATTCGCCTACGAACTCTAACACTACAATTATTTTATTGTACAAAGTTTTCCACCCAATTTAAAAACAATAAGGATTGCATGTCAGAAGAAAAGGCAAAATATTAGGAGTTCTCGGCACCATATCTGAAAACTCATAACTTCATATTCAGAAATAACCCATAAATTCCGATTTTTCCAACCGATTTCTCGCTTTTTTGCTTTAAGAAGCAAATTACGCTCTTCTTAACATGATCCACCGGCTTCGGCTTCTTTTGAATATACAGTGACCGCCAAAAAGTTGCAGACAAACCCCTCCTTTTTTCATCGCTCATTTTCGGATGGAAAACAAAGATTAAAAAAAATGATTGAGTTGCAGGAGATAGGGCCCTCCAAGAACTACAACCTACACATTGCGCTTTTTAGAAAATATGTATTCTCAAAATTTTAAAAATCTTTTGCGAAAAAGTCTAAAATGGCCGCGTCACAATGTCGTGGACAACAATTCTTCGAACGCGAAAATTTAAGATTAGATCTTTGTTTGAAGAAAAACAGAAGTTTTCCTCACAAATAAGCATATTACATTAGCATACTATATTATAGAGCTCATCGTGAACAATAATCAGGTAGCGGTCACTTCCGAAAAATGCAAGCTTGAATCTTATTTTGCTTTTTTTCCAAAAAATAACTTCTAACACCTTTTTCGAGCCAAATTTCCTCACGTAAAAACCTGTTCAAAACATCCTAACAAAGCTGTTAAGATAAAATGGATGCTCTTATACTCTATGCAGTGGACTTGTGCTGATAAGTTTCTTTGCTGAAAATGGCTCTTGACAAGGTGTGCACATGCCCCCATCTGCACCTTACTACTGATTTGCACCGTTTTGTAGGGGGTATATAGCTGAACGATAGCTGGTACCAGTGGCGCGCGGGGTCATAAACTGGCAATAACGTCTTCGCTCGAAGCTCCGCCCTACTGCGGCGGGCGAGTTTCTCGGACGATACTGTCAAGTAAAAACAACTTTCGATAGTGAGATATATGCTTGTTGCAAACTGGAATGAAGCTTGACTATTTTCAGGATCTTGTTTTTATTTTTTGTTCTTTTTTTGGCAATCAATGAACAGCTGATGTCTTGGTCGTAAAATTCGAAAGATCTGCTGGTTTTATGTATGACCTAGTGACTCCTGGATATCCAGCTTTGAAGTGTGAAGTCAATCTAGAACACCTCAGGCATGATTGTTTGACCTCACATCTTACGACTAGTTCACGCGCAATTTCGATTGAGCTACAAATCGATTTATATTGAGGACAGCAGTTTTTGGAATCAAAATAGAAGAATTTTAATTTTTTTGAAGCAGATTCGAAAACTTATAAGTGCAGTATGATTCTCCTGAAATCTGAGAAAATTTATGTGATATGACCGCATATTTGCAGAACGAGTTAGTTTCTTGAAACAAAATCGCCTATAGTGCTTGTTTTTTCTCGTCGCAATGAAATTTGTTTTTAGCTATGATTAAGGTTTCAAAACTTACTTTTCAGAGAGGAACAAATAACTGAAGTACATTAGAAAGAGCTTACGATCTAATCTTATAACGAAAATGATCTGAAAACTGATTTTCAATTTAACTGAAATTTTGAAATCCGTTATCCAAAAGCAACCAACCGAAGAAGCATGAACGAAGTATTAGACAGTTTTCCAATAGCTGCACCGCATTCCTAGGCTAATTAACAGGGGGCGGAGCGACCAGCGCACCGCGTACGGTACGCAGCTGGCGGCTGGCACATGCTATCGTTCATCTTGACCGCCACCCTTTTGTAGGCGTGTAGCTCGGCTCTACGAGCCTGCCTGAAGAGAGGGAACGCGAGAGGAGACGAGATGAGGAGCGAGCAAAGAAGAGGCTCATTCGTAAGAGCGTAAATTCCTGGAGACGATGACATGCAAATGATTTGAGTTTGTCGAGTCCCGGGAATTACGGATGGGGTGAAAAAGCGCAGCCTCGGAGGTGATCGGAGTGAAAGCCCTTATCAACATCAGAACAGTCTTAGAGCTTCGAAATGGATCTATTACAAGAAAACTGACAGTTCATAACTTCTAGGATGGAAGTGGTAGCGAAAGGAGCTCTGTTCAACTTTAGCTGAAACCTTAGTCTACCCTAGCCTGTCCAGGAATTCACGCTCTTTCGAAAGAGCCTACTCGCAGGCTCGTAGAGTGGCTGCTGGCAGAGCTACACGCCTGCAAAGCGGTGTAAATCAGTAGTAAGGTGCAGATGGGGACATGTGCACACACTGGCAAGAGCCATTTTCAACAAAGAAACTCACCAGCACACGTCCGTTGCTTAGAGTATGGCAAAGTCCATTTTATCAGAACAGCTTTGTTACGATGTTTTGAATAGGTTTCCATGTGAACAAATTCGTCTTGAAAAAGATAATTAAACGTTATTTTTAAAAAAAAAGCAAAATAAAATTCAAGCTTGGGTTTTTATGAAAGTAATCACTGCCTGATTATTGTCCTCGATGAGCTCTACAATATAATAAGCTTACCTGTCCGAAAACTTCTCTTTTTACTTCAAGAAAAGACCTAAAAGAAACTTCTCGCGTTCGAATTATTGTCTGCGACATTGTGACGCGGCCATTTTCGGACTTAGAAAAGGCTTTAAAATCTTTATAATATATATTTTTTAGAAAGTACAACGTGTAGGTGTAGCTCTTGAAGAGCTCTATCATCTCATGCGACCCAGTCATTTTTTCATCGTTGTTTTCCATCCGAAAATGAGCGATGAAAAAAGGAAGGCGGCTTGTCCGCAAGTTTTTGGCTGTCACTGTATATTGCATAGATAGAAGCGATAGAAGAAAATACTCAAATTTTGATTTCCCTGACTTGGGACAAAACCATAAATATATGAGCAGCTGAATTTGTAGGTTATGTTACCTGCTCCTTCTAAATGAAAAGTTTGTGTTGTTTGAGCGTTTCTAGAAGTGAAAACATGCCAAAAAACAGCTGTTTTACTGTCTCAAAAACCGTAACTTCAAATAGAGACGCTCGATCAGCGCAAGCTTTGAAAGGGCGGGTAATAAGACCCATAATACCAGCTGCTTTGATTATTGCAGGTTCCAGACTTTTTACGACCAAACACAGAAAAATCAAAATTGTAAATATTTCTTCTGCTCTCAAATGCAAGTTATGCAGTGCATGCTAAATAAGAAGCTAAGAGACTATCATGAAGCATGATTAGCTCTTTATAGCGAGAAATAAATGTAAGCAAATTGGTCGAAAAAATCAGAAAGTGTAATTTTCGCGAACTTTAGGAGACCCAATAATAACTGACAGATAATCTCATTTACGACTTTGAAATTCCACAAATTTGCGTTGTCAGAATGTGTATGTGAAAAATTAATGAACACCCTGTTCGTTGGAACACTTTCCTCTGTACTGATCTTTCCTTATCACTCGTGTGGTCGCGTTATTATCGATTTCTGATCGCATACGGGGGTCACCCTTGAAAGCAAGACGATTGCAACATCATTGAGTTTTACTTTCAATTACTCCTGAAATTTCTAATGTTAATTTCTTTCGTCTTCGTTGTGTAAAAATTTGTTCTTCTTTGGGCTGAAATTTTTTGGAGCCGGGATGCTCAACATCATAATTGGAAGCTAGAACCGGAAGAACATCACAAGCGAATTTCTCACAGCTTCTTTAAGCGGCTAAGCTCATATCGCAATCCACTTTTCATTCAGCTCTAATTGTCGAGTTAGTACTTCAAACTTACGTATGAGAAAATTCTTCCTAAACTTCCTCTACAGCAAATCAGAAAATTTTCTACAAACTTTCATAGATTGTGTTAATGGCAACTGTTCAGCTTTCTTCTGCAAGCCATTATCGTTTAGTGCTCATTGAGTCTCGAACTCGAGTCTCGAATTTGTAGAAATCATTCAATGAACCTTTTTCCATATTCGCCTTCTTACTTTCGCCCAGAGGCTTATAATTTTATTCCACCTGCTTCTGTTATTTTTCAGAAGAAGAATTTAGCCATAAACTGGTTGTCCACAAATATCAAGGCATGGAGTTCTCAAACTTCGACTTCCTGGCATTCTTCCTAGCTCTCCATCTTTCCGTTTTGGAGCATTTTGTAACCAATCAGCTCATAGCCACCTACTTCGATTAGTTATTATGATTGATCGTTCTCCATTATGTGCAATGACCATTCAAAAGAAGCTCCACAAAAGCATATTTGCAATTTTATGCTCATAAGCTCGGTCTCATTCATTTTATAGCTTATACGATTTACAGAATTCGCAAGATAATACTGCTAGTTTATAAATGCGAAGATCTCTTCTTGGTTATATTTTCCAACTTCTCCTGACCAAGCTGAAGCCAGCCGATATACGTCATTTGCTATGGCAAAAGCGCAGATATCATTTGTTCATTACCACATTCGAAAAACAAGGGTAATACAGTTTTGTGCTCTTTTTTACACACATGCAACGATTTGGATATTTTCTAGATTTGCTGTGGTCCATCCCTCGACTAGTCTGGCTAAAGGCGTTATCGCTGATCAAATCGTTGAGGTTACTGTAACCTATCGTACATGGCAGGTATTTAGATAACTATCATACTTGTAAAAGTAAATTAAATTGCGACGAGCCAAACTAAGATTTGATTTCGATAATGGAAAAGTGCTCAAACTCACTTTTCATTCCCCAGTGTTTTTGGAGAATAAAATATGCACAAGTTTTCTCACACATGTCATCTCCAAATACTTATTTTTTTGTCCTGGAACACGTTATCCATACCAAGATGTGATGGATGATACAGGGTGTCCCAAAAAAATGTATCGAACGTTTGATCGTTAATATCTCTCTTTTGAAGAAGTCTTTTCCCTCGCTTCAAGTACCAATCTGTAGAGCTGGCTTCAACTAAGATTTGCATTATAGAACGAATCAGTCTTTTCTTTTCATTACTGTAGGATTACGGTAGAAACTTCAAAGAGGGTTTTAAGCAATGAAAGGCCATATTTTGCCTCAGAAAGGAAACAAAACAGCCTTAAAACTTTTACACTAGGCTAGTTAGAGTTGCTGATTATAGCTGTAAAGTTTTCAACTTATTATGATGCTTCATTAAAGAGTTATGCCAGGTAAGAGGTAGCGGCCATTTTTTCAATGTTCCTAAAAAGTGCGGTTACACCGTTTAGAAGGCTTCGTAATCTCGTGAATAGTTGAGTATTAAACTCAGCGTCCATAAAAACCCTATTACACAAGTTTTTACATTTTTTTGAAAGATCTTGAAAAGGCAGCTTTTTCCACGTTGACACCATATGTTTCAAGTTTCTACCGTAATCCTACAGTAATGAAAAGGGATGGGTGATTGGGTGATTCGTTCTATAGTGCAAATCTAAGTTGAAGCCAGCTCTACAAAACGGTACTTGAAGCAAGGCAAAAAACTTCTTGGGAAGAGAGATATTAACGATCAAACGTTCGATACATTTTTTTGGGACACCCTGTAGTTAAGCATTCTAGAACGTCTACAGACAGACTTCACGACTGATGCGACTATCGCTGTCAATATCCATTCCAGCCGATTATGTTCAAATTGGCCGAAATGATGCCTACAATATGTTTGGAGGTGTGCCTGGCACTGATTTTATTGTTGATGTGAGTTTTCAACATTTGTAAAGCACTTGATCTCAGAAGAGATTACTCCAATTTTCATCGCAGAGTATCAAATCCTACAACTCATTACCCAATTCGGAGAAAACCTTGGCCACTACAGAAGCCGTGCGACTTGCCCGTATAAAGCAGCACGAGGAGACTCCAAAAGATGATTTTTCGGAGGAGTTGCAGGAGATTTTCGAAATTCCACGGTGAGCTGTTCCTTTTTGAATTATCTACTTTCAAACTGTCCTTTCATGGTTGTCTACAACAACGATATTGTTTGCATACCTGTTCGCGATATTTTCACCGAGGAAATATCACGACATTATTTTAAGGTAAGCTACATTCTCTAACCCAACATCTCGTCTGTGCATTGTCAAAAAAAAATGAAATGATTGCGAATGAGCTTCACAGCACACGAACATTCATAGATGTTACGCGATCGCACATTGCTTCAGTGACAGTTGTAGGCGAAGATTGAGTACGTTTTGTTATATGGTAGTGGCGGTCAAAGAAAGTTTGTTCGAAGGAGGAGGACGAGGGGAGAGAATACCACGTTGCCTAAAATTTCTTCGAGATGTTATTTTCAGTGGGCCTATAACCTAAAATTTTCGAGATGTGCCACTCGCCATATTTTACAAAGCTGATTCAAACTTTTGGGAGGTTTGAATTTGCAAGTTTGATTGATTCTTAAGGGGAAAGGAGGGGGAGCGATGCGGCATCGCAGTCAAACCTCGCAAGCTCCGTTATTATGTGATTTATAATCTTCAACTAGGCTTTCGCTCCAGCGGCACCTTCAATGGATTTTTAGTCAAGGAACTAACTATGGACTTTCGCCCGTACCGTACCTTTCGCGCACCCAACCGCAGAAGGCACGGTCTGGGAAGTTTAGAGATGAGATTAATCTCGACCACGATTGAAGCTGTTGCTGAAGCTTCATAGTCAGTTCACACACTAACAGCAATCATTATATTTCGTGAACAGTATTTCCCGGAGGCTCTTTCTTTCATGACTGAGAAGGTTGCAAAAATTCTAAAATTCTAAAAATATCATAGGTAGTAATTTTTACAGTTCAATGCGCAACATTCACCTACCCATCCACAATTTTGTGTGATAAAGGCCAACCAGCATAATTCGTTCCAACATAGAGAATTTTTCACTGTTTTTTATTTGTTTTCTAAGCAAGTTTCTTCCAGAGCTCTGTTATTTACAGATTGATTGCGACGAATCGCCATGCATATTGGACACTACCTCATCGTTTTACCAAATCTCTTCCGTTTCTTCAAATCTACCGTATGCTGCACAGCCTCAAATGTTCGCTATTCCTGAAAAGATGAGCGCTACAGTGGAGAGGATGCGCAACATAGTCTTAGCTCATGATGAGGTAAGTAATAGCAATGAACCTAATATTAGCTGATCGATGTGATTATTTGGCAAGGTCGAAGAAAATCCTTTGGTTCTGCTTCTCTTTGGCGCTGCTGGTAGCGGCAAACGTCTGGTAGCTACACACTTGGCCATCAAGACACATCGAAATCTCATCGAAATGAGCTGCTACGATATTTGGAGCGAGGTGACATCGCAGTCTGAAGAAAAGCTCAACAAACTTTTCGAAAAAGGTGTATATGCTGTAAGCTTCAATCACTGAAGGGAAAAGAGTCAGGAAGTTGTCAAATATTTAGCTGCTTCGTTTCAACCGTGTATTCTTCATCTGACTTCAATTGACGTTTTCGCATATGATGTGGCAACAAATACCACAGGTAAGCTTACGAGTTTTGGGTACCATTCTGTAGAGCGAGGTTTAACTTTATAGCATGAAGCAAATCATTTACTTTTCTCAATTACTGTAGAGTTACGGTACTTCAAGAAGGGTAAGACATTGAGGGTTCCATTTCGCCCCAAAAAGCAAACCAAACGAACTAGAAACTCTTACATTAGGCTAACTAAAGTCGCTGAAAGCAGATATGAATTTCGCATTTCACCGCAATGCTTCCTTCTTAATTTATGCCAGGTAAACCGCGATAGCTGTCTTCACAATGCTTTCTGAGAATGTGACTAGACCGTCGTTAAGTAGTCAAATCAGCGCGCATAAAATCCCTTTTTCACCACTTTATAGAATTTTTTGAAGACTTTTTTGAAACACGAGTAATCCACAATGACGCTATAAGCCAAAGGTTGCTACAGTCCTACAATAATGAAGAGCGATTGGTGGTTCGCTCCTACTGTAAATCTCAGTTGAAATCAGCTCAACAAAATGGCACTTTAGGGCAGGCAAAAGACTCCCTGATAAGGGAGATATTGACGATCGAACAGTGTATACTTACTTTTGGGTTACCTTGTATAACAGCACATATTGCATAATGTGCTGATTACAAGTCCTTTTATCGAATTGTTCCGAAAGTTCTCTCCATTTTTTCGACTTACCATAAGAAAACGTGGGGAGGCAGGCAAACATTTCAAAAACTACTTCTCGCAGCTTTCGTCTTTTTAGATAGTCATTTTTCCTTTCAATTCGTAAAGTCTTTGGCGATAAATTATCATAATCGAAGTTTGATATTTTGGAGCGGTAAATCTTCATTGCTTTGCAAAGTTAGTCATAATTATATCTATTTTTGAAAGCTTCAATATCAAAGATTCGTTAATGTTTGGATCGTTATGGTATTTTGCGACCCCCCCAAAAGTGAAGACTATTAGAAAAGTTTA